TTATCCCCTCCCCCCGCCTAACACCATCCCCCCCCCCCCCTAGCCGAGAAAAGAGGCTGGCTCGGCTATGCACCCCTACCAAATTCCATTTTTTTATCATGTTACACAGCTAAAGAATCCGTCTTTACAACATGATGTATTTGTTCCACTCTAGCCCTAAACCAACATACCTGGTCCTATAACCGAGATCCCCGGCCAGACGTGATATATAGAATGACATCGTCCTAGACGTGATATACAGATGTGATAACATGTCAACCGTTTACCACGTCTGAGGAACTGGGTAGGGTCAGCCTAGGCCATTCAGGAGAAGTAAAACACCGAATCTACTATCAATTAACGGCCTTTTGAAAACTTTAAAAAAGTTTCTTCACGTTGTTCAAGATAAGTAGCCTACAAGAATCGATTATTTTTAATGACAGGAAAAAAACTCGTCATGTTACTTTCATGGTTATACTATAAAGTGGCGATTGACGCTTTATCTTCTCTGGCCCAAAGACATATACACTTTTTGTCCTGAAACCAAAGATAAAAGGATGATTAAATCAGGTTTCTCATTAAACATTCATATTCCCCTTTCGCAACCCACCCATTAATTTTTAACACAATTTCAAACACTTTATACCAATTATAATAATGTAACATCTATTTTTATATCATGACATAAACAAATAAAAACTATAATATATAATTCTATACAGTTATAAAATCTTTCAACATGTCCTATGTCGTGACTTTTTAAATACAAAATTACACTTTCGAAAAGAAATCAAAAGTTACAGAACTAGTCAGGCTCCTGCATAGTGTATCAATGGCATGGTTAAAACCCTATTGGTGACGGAGGAATATCTTTGCCAATAACAGGATAGTTAACAATAATAGTAAATTGAAATATCTTTTGTCATACTGTTTGACAAATAAGTTTTGCTGAGTGTCATACAACGTTTGGTGTCTATACAAAGTTGAACTATTATGAATCGAGCTGCAGGGACATCGAGGAATACTTGGTAAAAAATGAGCCTATAGGTGTGCTACAATCATTCCATTTTGATTTTATTGCACAGCTGAAGCTCCACACAAAAACAAAACTCATTACTTATATCTTGGGGTAATGTCAGTCATAGAAGCCCAAAAGGGAAAATGCAGCTCAAATGGGAATTCGCACTAATGGGAATTAATTCATTCTCTCACATATTCACATCTTATTGTAAACTTGAGGGATAATAAAAACTGAATTAAGAATTAAGCTCCCATTGGATACTGTCTTGATTTAAACGACCCACACAAAATAATGACGGAAGTTTTGTTTGGGCGAAGAAACAGAGGCAATAAGTAGTGCGAAACTTGTCCTTGATGCAAATTGCCAGTGAAAAATTAAATGAATTTGTTTGACGTGGGTCTAATGTGAAAAACAAATGTAACAGAATGGTATATAGATATAATAAATATAACGTTTATAACACTTCATTTCATGATAATTTGTATAATTACATAGCCTTTATTTCGAAGTACAAAACATTCTTAAAATGATCTAGAATATTTGAAATGGGATAATATAGTGCCAAGTAATCCTAGGGTCATTTTAAAGTCAGAAAGCCAAAGCCAATTATCGTATCGTTATTATCGTATTATCATACCTAGCCATTAGAAATTATTTCCTGATATGCATGTAAATATCCCAATTAAATTATGGCTTAGCCATTACATTTAGTATGATTGCTAATAAGTTTATATATAATATCAAGTAACGAGGCCACATGGAATTCACCAGAACAGATTTGTCCTTAGCCAGTGGCGGGGCAACCCCCAAGACAAGATTTTCAGGCAAGAAAAACAAAAAAAAAAAAAAAAACAACAAAACAACAAATTTTTAACAGCCGGATTTCTCTTACCAAATTTAAAATAAAAATTAAAAACAAAAGGTTATGGTAAACCATTGATTTTTAACAATGACGTATCATCATGCTTGTTTCACAATTTCAGACAGTATCGAGATGCTGCACTAACTGTCATAAGTTTTGTGAGGTATACAAACAGTCTCGTCTGGTACAACTCACATATACAAAATACTTGGCAGTCCGTGTTCATTTTGGAACAATAGTGTATATTTCTTAATTAGACTAATAACTGTTACTGTCTCTTATTCACAATTTTACTGATTGGAGTTTTCGCATACTGTAATTATCAGGTAATTAATAACTTCGATTGATCTGTAGTCCACACTTATATACCTTCTTATTAATGTATAATCTCATCGACTTCAATATATTTAACGTACCAGCTTACTGAGAAAATCTGATTTCTCTGACAGCAAACGGCGTAGTTTCTTCTGGTGAGAAGGACAATAGTTATCTTTAATGGATTCTAAAATTTTCTGTAACGATACGGTAAGTACCTAGAACATTAATATGTTATCTAAAATTTATGGTTTACTTGTGGCTGAAAAAAACATGTCATATTTATTTTCTGTTGGAAAATTTAAGCCTCTTGCTGCAACCTAAAATACTTTGAGTGCACCCGGCCCGGGTCATTGCCTTCTTATCTTCATCTGTCATGTCGCTCATTGTGTTAGGGTGTATTGAGCAGCTGGATCACAGAGCAATAGATAAGCTGGTGCGTTATCTATATGTACAAGAAAAAAAATATGTAATATGGAACGTTTTAAGTAAGCGGGAACGATGATCTGTGTTTTGAAGTTTTAATGGGGAAATAAAGTAAGTGACTCAATGGAAATATTTTTGGGATACATCATCATTCCAGATAAAATTAAAGAATAATGAAAGTGAATAGGATAACATGTTTTCCAGGATTAACTGCAAGCTAGTAAAGTGTTTGAGTGCCAGCAATGGATTTCAGATGGCCCAATTTTAAGCAGTTAGAGGGCTTAATTTTCCTGTAAAATTGACCTTTTCTCAGGTCTTAGGTGAATGATGTTTCTAGGAAAGATAAGTTGAGAGGGCGAGTAGGGGGCACACAATTTTCTATTTGGGGGAGGGGGGGGGGGGGAGGAGGGAAGAAATTTATTTGTAGGCATATTTGTATTCTACTATGTTATTTATCTTTTACAAGATAAAAAAACAAAAACTTTGTTACTTATCTTGAAAAAAATTTTAAATCTTTGGAACAACCATTGAGGAAATATAGGACTGTTGCGGATTTTTTATCAGCACAAAGCAATTGCCAAACATCGATCACCTTTCTACAGAACTACTGGCTCACAGCCAACATTCCGGGTGAGCGGTTGTGAACGGTTATATATAATTACATAGCAATTAGTATAATCAAAGGTTAAATAATTAATGGAAGTGGTGAAACATGCCCATAGTACGGCCAGTAGAATTCTTATCATTACTAAAAACTATAGTAGACTCTGTGTATTTAGTTATCAATATAAATTGATAATATAGTAAAATTTATTTTTAAATAAATTTCACTATATTATCAATTTATTACCATTACCAACTACATTTTATATTGTCGTAAACATCGAAAATGTGATTTTCACTAAAGATAAGGAACTTTTGCGGGTTCTGAAACCGGAGGCTCAAATTTCACAACGTCGTCGTTTACGTTAATACCTATGTAGAAATTATTTGAAATCATCTGTCATTGCTAATATTGATATGTCGAAATGATCATATTGGTTGCTGTGCCGGATAATAATAATAATATCTATATGACAAAATGGTAAAACATCAAGATCAGATCAGATCCATTCTGCCCCCTAAGTTGGTCTTTTCACCAAGACTTGGTCATTTGGTGTGGATAGACTAATTGACTAGAGCTCATCTCATTCTGTCTACAAAGGCTTCGGAGTGCCGGAGTTTTGAGATTTGGGTCAACTTTCCAGATTGGGCTTTGAGCATAATTTTTAATTGGCAAAGAAAGCGATCTAGCACAATACTGCTTGCCCCTTTCTCTCTTTCTCTCTTTAACAAGTTGATTTAAGAGAAACTGTTGCTATTCAAGTTTCCACAGGGATGATATGTCTACATATCACTGTGGAGAGACCAAATAGCCCGCTCTTCTCTGATCAATAAATTACCACAGCTTGCAGCGGAGACTAGCTTATTTGTTATTGAGATATTATTTCTTATCAAAATCTCATTTCGCAGAAATAAATGACAGTATTAATTTATTTTTTTATCTTTAATAGCCTATGATTTTAAGAGTCAAGCTGTGAGTATTATTAAGTTGTATGTGCATTTATTTTATTTCATTCATATTATATTGTTTATCTGGATATTTTTTGGATTTGGTTCATTGAGAACTGTTACTAAACACAAGCTGCACTAAATGGTCAGAATTTGCTGCTGATTATTTATCTGACTTTTGTCTTTCCCCGAACACGATATTGGATCAATCAGGGCAGATATACATTTAGGCAATATAAGGCGCGTTAACCTTTTTTGGTCAGAGCGAATCTGTCGCGCAAAAAGAATGGTAAGAATGTCACAAGAATTTGTCACTAATTACAACTTCGTTGGTTTCAGCTATCTTTTTTATATGGGAAACAGTATACATTAACTCCGTAACGATAATAACATATAGATATCATATCATAACAAAAAGGGACAGAAAAGTAGCTCATAATATTCTGTTTCATTTATTTTATAGATAATATTAACATTTTGATATTAAGATGGTATAATGTTCCAATGTCACAATGTTTTGATCCGACATTAGGAATTATGTCAAAAAGTGGTTATCTTACAGGTCATGTAATGTTATGTAGACGTAGATATTGAAACAATAAATATTTGTATAGATCCATTTAGACTTTTGAGGTAATTTTTGAGAGTTCGTTATTTTTGCAGGAACCTTGATAAATAAACGGCTAATTTCATTATTCTTACGATGTGTGTGTGTGTGTGTGTGTGTGTACTACGTGGCCTCAAATCATTTGTAAAGGTCCAACTCCTTATCGCCAGGAAACAAGACCGTTTTTTAATTTCCTCCGGAAAATACAACATAATATATATGCCATTTAATTGTCATCCACAATAATTGATCAAGTATGTTTGATTTAGCATGTCAAAATATTTGTTTAATTGTCTCGTTGCCTCAGAGCCTTTTAATATTATCTGATTAATTTTGTTAATTCTATCGTGTTTTTGTTTTGGCTCATAGAACATTCTATAACTTGAAACGAACCGATATTTGCTATAACTCGACAATTCCTATATCATAAAAAAAATTATATTACGTAGTGCGTAATGAAATGAAATGCACCATGGTATCTTGTTGGGAAGCATCGTCTCTTCAACACGTCCGAAGTATTACATATTTTTCTTATTGTACTTCTAGTAGATAACCCATTATTTGGTCATCCAGTATATCATGTATAAAATATTCAAGATGTCACGATATTCTAAAGCTTTTAAAGATATTTTTTTGGAAATAAGTACACGCGGAAAGCTAACTCCTTTATGATAGAACGCCTTTGATTGTCTATTGCCACAGCACGCTTTCATCTATTCCTGAATAAGTGGGCGTGGTTTAACCACGGTGTTTTTGCTCTTGATGAAAATATTGATAATATTTATTAGAGTTGTCTTTGTTTTATTAAATTTAAGATTGTTTTGATACACATCATTAGTATAACAAAACAAATTTCTAACAATTTGTATCATATCAACAGGTAATTGACACCAGGACACGTGTTTCTTGCACACTGAACGAAAGACGGAATTCTAATTTCATGTTTTTAATATTAGACAAGAGGAAACTAGCTTGTATAATATTTGATATTTTGTCAAAATATATTTCTTTTGTAGATTGAGTTGAAAAATTGTACAATGACAAACAGCAGTAATATAGGAAAAGATAATAACGGTACAGAGGAGCTGATAACAACCTTCGTCGCACCATTACTCGAGACCAAACCAATATTGTCTATAATCTATATATCAATTCTCTCGGTTGCTTTCCTGATTGGAACTGTTGGTAATACCCTAACCATCATTATATCATCCATCAGCAAGAATGTGAACAAAGTTGGCCGCGAATTTCTCATAAATTTGGCTCTAGCGGATTTGTGTGTTTCAGGATTTGCTGATCCCATGTGCATTGTTGGTAAGTTTTCCTTGTTTATCTGAAAAGGATTTAAATATATAAATACATAAGTACGCTTTCTTGTAGACTGGTTGTGTCTTGGTCGATCCTCAAGTTTAGAAAACTTTTGTCGTAGGCTCTGACAATTCTTTTCGTTAGCGTGGTATATTTCCCGACATTTTTTAGGGGGGGGGGGGATCCATGGTACTTTGAAATGAATAGGAAAATATGAGACGTTGAAACATTTGTATAAGGGTATGGAAATCTTGGAAAAGATCATTAAGTGGATTGGTCGATTGCCACCAGTAAGAAAAATCCCCCAAAACTGACGATGTTATTTTGTAAAATATTTATTTATGTTTGAAACATAGGCAAATCAGGAAAATCAAAACAAATATTGAAATGAAGATAAGTAATTCAAGGTTGTGTAATTGTGTACACCACGATCGAAAATTGCTTCGATTTGTATCAAAATAATATTATGGTTTTTTTTGGCGTGACAATGGTCTGGGTTTTTGAATTACTTGTACACAATTTCTTATTTATATAGTGTGTGAACTTTAAATTAAGAGAGCAATTTCAGAGAAAACAAAACATGCAATCGAAAAAAAACCTTTTAAGAAACCTAAATTATTTATTAATTAAGTTATCCATAAATTAACGTAAAGCATGAAATCATTTGCGCAGGTGAAATCGTTTTGATTGATTTTGACTCGATTGTTTTCTCTTCTCCTGATTTGTAGGTCATTTTGAAGAATCACTTTGTTGAGGCTTTAAGTAAGTCTAACTTGTTTATGTCTCTTAATATTGTTATGGTTTTGGTCTAGTAAAGTTCATTTCGTTTATATTGCGAGAACACTTCTATTTGCATCTTGCCGATATAAACGCATTGACTGTTTCACCTTCGATGATTACATGAAAATTACATAAAGGGTCAGAACGTACCTGCGACAGACGAATTCCCACAGCGGCACTTTTGACATCTAGCAATAGTATAACATTATTATTCAAATCTGCCCCGGTAGATTTGTAGCTTATATATGCTGACTATATAAATATGTACAAGAAGATGATTTATCAATTTCCCGACAAAGGCTTGACAGTATGAACCCTCCCATCTTGAATACATTTTGTCTGTATGATGATTAAATTAGGTTAGTTTTTGTAAAGTCATCTAAGTCGATGAAGTACATTGGGCAGAAAGTCTTTCCCCTCCTCACGACTGTTTTGTCATTCAATTTATCTGAAAGGTAAAGGATAGTTTTGTATGCTTCATTAACTTCATTGTTTTATTTGACAGCTTGGTTCGTTTTGATGCATGTCATTGAATCCATCAAAGCAATTGCGATCAACTAGATGATCAAAGATTCCGACCGGTCCGTAACATTTTCCAATATTTGCCAAAAAAGATTTATTGGAAACTGATGACACTGCGTGGTGAGGTGCGATTTTCGGTTCTCGGTACGCAGTGTTACTAGTTTTGCCGAGTCAAAAGATCATGGTATATGTAATTGTATATTTTCGGATCAGGACGTCTATGTTTAGTATTCTTTTTATTTTATTTTGGTGCTGCAATGTATATTATTTCCCTTCTCAGCGAAATTAACATTAGAACATTAAAATTTTGATGAAACAAGGTATTACGATACATATTGTTTTATTTCTTACAGAATAAAATGGTTTATCAGCAGTTATCAACACTGTCGGCACTACTCGGGATTATCTGGATCCATTGTAGGTGAACGTTCTTCTTTTTTATACTTCAGGAGTGGTTAAGGGTCAGAGATGGTTTAGCTCTCGAGTGTGGTTTTGTGAACTAATATCCTCTTTATGTTTGACGGCCTGTTTCTGTGCCTTCCTCAACCTAACTCTAGTCAGCTTCAACCGTTACATTTACGTCTGCAAGAATAGATTGTACTACGTTCTATTCAAAACCAAAGTCTGCATCGTTCTCTGCTTGGTAACATGGGTAGCAGCTTTTCTCTTCCAGTTTCCCAATTTCATTGGCTGGGGAGACCACACCTTTGATGAGAAGAACCACCAATGTATCTGGGACAGAACAAAAAGCTATTCTTACACCCTCTTCGTATCCATCGCCTTAATCGGGAGCCCATTGCTTTTTATGACGGTGGCATACATCCTTATTTTCTGGCGGATTTTCCAAACCAAAGTCAACGTTTACAGTTATAGCATTGATGATCCTGATCGATTGAAGAAAGCCTGGAAAGAAACCGCCAAGTCATCAAGAACGCTTTTCATTCTGTTTGTAGTATTTGTGGTTTGCTGGACTCCATACACAACTGTTATTTCATTAGATGTCGCTGACGATTTGCCAATGGAGGTTCATATCATGGTAACTCTAGTTGCTCATCTTCACTCAAGCTCAACTTTTGTTGTTTACATGATCAGCAACAGACCATATAGAAGAGCCGCTTTCAGATTACTGTGTCGACCCACTAAAGGCTATAGAACTGGTATGCTTACAGGATCAACATCAACTGCTACTACTACTACATCTGATGCATCTACAAAGTCTCAAGACAAGAAGGTAGTACATACCATCTGCAAATGAACGAGAGCATACAATGGTGAATTATATGTATCTATTGTAAACATGTTCATGACATGGCAACTTCATCGTATAAAAAATTGGCTTAATCATTAAATGACAGATTAGATAACTCGATGAAGATAAAATGGAAATAAATACAAAAGAGAGCAATGTAGTGTTGTTAAAAGTATATATTTTACCTCTAAATTACCCGTGAAAGTAAAACTTTCAGTAATTAAGCTATAAGTTAAAACATCATAATCATAACACAAGATTACTTACCATCCATGTTACTGTTTTAGATGTTGATGTATTTGTGCGATATGGTGTACTTAAATGGATTCAGGTAGCCGTGCCCTTGTTGTGTGTTTTTCATAAACGCCAAATTTTCAAAATACGCTTTTGAGTTTAAAATTTCAACTCAGTTACTGCGATATGACCTCATTTCTCAAAACCTTCCTTTCATGCGATATTAACGAGTAGTTTCTAAAATGATTACGATCACATAAATTTGGTCTTGGGATCAAAATGCATTATGAAATACCAAGTATTATTAAAATACAACCAGGCATTGATTTTATAACGATCAAAATGCAGGTAAATAGTTTATTGACTAAACGGAGTATGAAAAGTAATATAGTATTTCAGATTGAATGTGACAAGCAGATTTGACACCAATATAAAGCTTTGACTATTGTCTTTGATCTCCAATCAGTTTGTTCGATATTTATACTGGCAGTATATTACCCATAACATTGTCAATTAAATAATAATAACGTTGAATAAGGTTATTCATCACCTATTTGTTCATCATTAAAGGTAAATCAGTTGATAAATGAATTAATAAATTAATCTTTTCTACCCTATACAGTATATATAGACATCATTAACCTAGAAAAACGTATACAGTTTTATGGAACAACAATCACCAGTTAAAAGTTTTATGCGTTTTTCGACGTGTTTCCTCCGTCGTCCTGAGACACAGGATGATAAGAAATGGTAGGCAATGGTTTATTTGTTAATTTATTAATTAATAGGTATCATTTATTACGAATTCCAAATGAGAGTTTGCACGTGTGGAATTAGGGCTCCCTTTTCCTTTCTAACAAAGATTGATGTACGTTTTTTATAATATATGGATATATCCAACGATATTAACTCAATTTGTGTCTCTTATCAGATCTGTTGTTTTCAAGTTTCTAAGTCCTTTGAAAAACACATAATCAGGTTAACGCCACAAAATTTCAGCTAGTTTTTCTTTTTTTTGTTGATTTTTGATGTTGTTTGTTATTGTTCAATAAATTGTATTCATATTACACGCATTTTGATCATCACAAATTTCTGTTTGACAACTTATTTTAATTCCCTGGTCAAGCTTTGATAATGCTGAAATGAGAATAAAGATCCCACCTTTCTTCTCTTGTTCATGAAGCCAAGCAATTGGAGATACAGGCCTTGGATGTGTCACAATTTGTGACAGTTCCTTTCATGACAGACAAATCTTTCTGACAATGAATGTTATGCGAGAGCGGAACATAATACGTCAACAATAACATTGTATTCATTTTCCATTGATTGGAATAAATGAATTATTAAACTGAAATGCAAAAGAAATGACTATAATGTATTAACCTAAATCAAAATCTCAGTGCTTGTTACTTGCGTCTTTTAAAAAATGACGCTGCGATTATTTTATATAATTGTGGAAAAACACAAACTGGTTACAATTTCGCATCAGACAGATGAGGAAATTCAATCTTTTCAAACATAATTATTAGATCAGTGGTTCCCAACCTTTTTCAGTCTTCACACCCCTGGAGTTATCATTTGAACCCTTCACACCCGTAAAACAATGGACATTCAAAACGTAAATGAAATGAATGGCGTTTTATGTCCTACCTTCAAAACATTGTACATTTTATAATTCTTTATTCAAACTATTCATAATAATCACACATAATAATGGATATATAATAATAGATATATAATAATAGATATATAATAATGGATATATAATAATGGATATATAATAATAGATATATAATAATGGATATATAATAATGGATATATAATAATAGATATATAATAATAGATATATAATAATGGATATATAATAATGGATATATAATAATAGATATATAATAATAGATATATAATAATAGATATATAATAATAGATATATAATAATGGATATATAATAATAGATATATAATAATGGATATATAATAATGGATATATAATAATGGATATATAATAATAGATATATAATAATGGATATATAACAATAGATATATAATAATAGATATTTAATAATAGATTTATAATAATAGATTTATAATAATAGATATATAATAATAGATATATAATAATAGATATATAATAATAGATATATAATAATGGATATATAATAATAGATAATAGATATATAATAATAGATATATAATAATGGATATATAATAATGGATATATAATAATAGATATATAATAATAGATATGTAATAATGGATATATAATCATGCGGCCGCAATAAGATGCTCAGTGGAAAGGCTGTTGCTGTCTTCTTTGGAACCATATAATATCCCTCCAAAAAAACTTCTCCTACAACAGTTGTTCACACCCGACACCCTAGTCCCAACCCCAACCCGGGGGCCCCAGGGGTTTAAAACAGCCCAGGTTGGGAACCAGGGTGTTAGATGTAGTTTGTCTAAAATTCGTCACTCTATTACGTTCTCAGCTCGAAAGCTCGAAACACATAATAAATAGATGTAACAAATTAGAGGAGTCCTGGAAGTGAATGAACTCCCACAACATGGTTAATGTAGAACTGCAAGAGAATCGGACATAGGATTTTAATTTTGTAGATTACTATGCTGATTTAGCCGGAGAAACAATTAATGTTCATGACGACATAACCCGATGTTTTTCAATGAGGCGATTTTACAAAAAAAAACAAAGTTCAAAATTATCTAAGTTTATACAAGGGAAGTAACTTGCAAAATTTAATATTTGTATATTTCAAATCTGATGTTAATGTGTTGTATTATAATAATTCCAGGCTTGTACATTTTGGAGAATTCCAACCTCTATAAATATACGAAAAATTATACAACTGTATTAACATTAGAGAATTTGTGAACATTGATTTGCATAGACAACCAACCTGATCACTTTACTCTAGATAGACTTCATGTGAGACAATATGTGATATATATATGTTGTTTAAATAGGGTTCATTCAAGTAATTCATGTGTAAAAGTAATATCTGAACACATCTGGACAGGAACACAGTATTGTATTCAAGGGGTGGGCCATTAAAAGATCTTATTTTGAATTAAAAAGTAAGCCCTCTAAATGCTCAAAATTTCATTTCAGGCCATATGAAATCCGTTTTCTTCAGAGGGACTCTGGTAGCCCCACAGTCTTATGGCGCTTCGGCACTTCGGGCCTCGCCTCGGACAGACACTTGCCATTAATTAAAATGGTGCTTGAGAATTTATTTATTTGCGACGCTATTTGTATATTTAATTTATTACGTGTAAAACACTACTTAGTTAACATATGTATTTAAATGAAATGTTCAAAGTCACGATATAATTTCTTTGAAGCATAAACACATAAAACAGATGATAAAATCCGCCAATTCTCGTCATCTTTGAGGATCTGAAAAGGTGTTACATATATAATTGTATATAACATTTTTTATATAGATCATTGATTCCCTGGGTTCCGGAGGTTTTTCTTCAACAATTTGTTTTGGGAAGACTAGATAATCCTGTAAGTCGACGACACTTACAGACAGGATTAAAGAAATATTTCACCAAATCGAATTTTAATCAAGTTTTCTTTCTGTTTGGTGTTGTCTGTTCATGCATTATCATGTACCCGATAGCTTTATTGTTGGAACTTTTAGGTGGAGTATCTGAAGAAAGCACGGCCATAAAACAGAGCTTACAACATTCAACATAATTCAGGCGCTCAAATTATGATCATGTAGTCGAAACTGGCTAAGCAGCTCTTACTAAATTCAGGTTCTCAAATAATCACAAATTACTTGCTTCAATATTATCTGAAGTTAAAGAGGGTGTTCAGAAATACTGCAATACTATACTGAACAGATAGATACGTCGCATTTTAAAAATATTTGGACAAAGTCATGCATGATCACTGATGAGTGGTCGTCCCCGAGTCGCTATATTCTGCAGCATTATCTGCATGACAGATTCACCAAAGCGGCACAAACAGTTCGTCAGACCATTGACCAACATAAGCAAACCATCAGTGCTGAAACCGTTCGAAATCGACTCGCCTCACAGAACCTGTCTTCTGTCCATAAAGGGGTCCGGTGCTCACTCCCCATCATCTTCAGCAACGTCTTACGTGGGCCACCTAAAGAGAGAATTGGCGGCATCCGCAGTGGGGGATCCACGTCTTTTCAGATGAGAGTCGGTACTGCATTTCCACCGCAGATGGCAGAGTACGAGTGTGGCGAAGAAGAGGTGAACATTTTACAGAACAGTGTGTGGTTGAAAAAGAGCCACGGGGAGGACCAAGCATTATGGTATTGGGTGCAATCGGCATCAATCAGAAACTTTGACATGGAGTCTTCCACAATATCGGCCCAGGCAGAGGCCACCGACCCCACGTTGCACCGTATTTGCTGTATTTTGCAAAACGCCGAAACCACACCTTCCAGAATGACAACACCCGTCTACACACTGCCATAGCCACCAAAACCTTCCTCCAATAGTCTAACATGAGATTAATGCCATGAACCTCACTCAGTCCGGACTTAAACCCAATAGAACACTTGTGGGATGAAATCCAAAGACGACTTAACCAGATCCAACCGCTTCCAAGAAATGCGGCAGAACTCAGTGTAACTTTCCTACGAGTCTGGGCGCAGATTCCAAAGGCGTCTGTAAATCGTTTGTGCCACTCCATGTACAGAAGATACCGGGCCGTTATCATCGTTATCCATGATTTTGTTATGTAGTGGGATTTGTATCCTGTCTGAAGACCTTATTTACTGATTAAACTTTATAACTATTATTATTAGAAAAGAAGGCTTTTCAATACATTCAGTTGAGTTCTAGACATAGTTGTCTCCCATTCGTACAGATATAGCCAGATAACTCCCCTTCTCCTAATAGTCCAATCAGGACTATAATAATAAAATAGGACAATTAATTGCAATTTCATTTGTCTGAGGGAAAGACCGTGGCGGTGCCAGCCTTCAGAGACTCGGGTACAAATAGGGGGCAGACTCAATGAGAGACAACTGCTGAGGCTGAATTCAAATTTTGGCTACACTGTGATGGTGCCATAGTCGCAAGCTTCTCATAGAGCATATTAGAGGGTTCTCTCAAGAAAAACGAATTGATTGAGATCTTTAAATATTGACACCCACGACGTACTGTTGCAGGGTGACAAATTAGACGCGAAGAAATGGGTGTTCTAACGAGTTTTAATTATTACTATGACAGGCCAATTACAATACATCAGTTTTTCATTATAACACTGTGTTAATTCATCAGAAGTAAAACATCACCTACAGACAACATAAAGTAGCCTACAAAGTCCAATAATTATAACATATAATATATATTATAGTCTCTACATCTAATAGGAAATGAAACAATTTTTCCTCTTTTAAAGTAAAACTCTCAGTTTTTGGACCAAGCAGAAAAGTACATCCAAATAAAGGTATTTCAGTATAGGATAAAACACATCAGAAGGCTTTTATGATATTTTAAATCCCGCATCCCTAGAGAAAGTGTTTTATCTAACGTATAAACCGTGAAATAAGGGGCGCAACTCGTGCCTTCAAGACTCGGTCTGATCATCAACCTAGACCATTTGTAAGGTTCGGAAACTGGTTATATTTGTTTATCTTGAGATATGCCACATTCAAATGAGCTTCGGAGAACGTATCTGATGATGTGAAAACAGACCGCCACAATACAAACAATAAAAACAATACGATATGCGTGAGACAGCTCTATGCTCGTGCAAAGTTTGTACTAGATCGAAACATCTGTCTCTATTCCAGACTCTGATAGCTATTTGACAGATGTCAGCTTACAACTGTCAAAATATCCATCAGAGGCTGAAATAGAGGCAGATGTTTCGGACTAAGTTTGCGCCTGATAGTGTTAAATGGAATTATCCAACAATCTGTTAAGTTTAAAAGTCCAAAGCATTGTCGTTGAAAAGACGTTTTCTGGCTATAGGGATAAAACTCTTATCTACAAACGTGGTCAATTCAGCCGTCAACCTTTTAGCTATAGACTATATATTGATAAGGACAATAATTAGGATAAAAAAAAATGTGATAAAATATCTTGGGATTAATATATTATATTAAAAATCTCCGGAATAATTAACCCCAGTAAGTGAAAGGAATTCTACAAGATGATAAAATCCCGTCAGAACAGTGGGGGTGACGCCACTAGAGGTGTATTTATATGTAAAAAATAATATTATATGTATAAACCCTTGGAACATTGACAAAATAATGCAAATAAATAAACTAGTAATAAATAAAGTAGCCAACTAACGATCCGAACTACAAATCGAAACCCGAATTTTGAGTATATCAATCACAAGTGAGTTAATCTTTCGTAATGAAAACTGGTATCAGGTGTCTAGAAGAGTAAGCTTACCCTGCTGGTACTATACATTCGTCATAGCTGCTCATATACAATAAACACTACGAACAGAAACTTGTCACCAAAAAATAACGACCTGAAAAAATGTTGCCAACAACATATAATGCAGAAATCATTCAAAGCTTGTTTCACATTTTCTTCAGTAAATATTAATAAGATCAATAATAATCACAAAAATAATCCTAATAAAACAATGTGCAGGTTTTTATTGAATGGATAAATTGAATGGGAGTATAACATCCTAATCTGCTGCACCTATTCAGTGTACATTGAGGGAAATTTTGCTAGGACAAGGGTGTAAGCCTAATTTTTTTCGATTTTCAACTATCGAGAGATCTTTAACGTGCACAGCCTGTAGCACATCATAAATTGTTTTAGTATGGAATTGACAATCTTAATTGACACAACACAGAATACAAATCAATCCAATTCACGATTCACGTAATTTGATTTAACTTTTGGAAGATGAATTTTAATTTGATTAAATTAGATAAAAGTATTGTCTATGAAATTCCCACGAAGGCGTGGAAATTTGACCTAGATAACGCATGTTTCAAATTTGGTTTGAAAATGACATATGAATGTGGAAGAAGTCATGGGCTCGCTATATTCCCTATGTTATTTCACAACTTTTTAGTCGTAGAATCTTCTATTGTGAAATATCTGTAACTGAAAATGAGTACAACTAAGATTGTCGTAGCGAGGCTGTTTTAATGAACAGTTCATGGAATTTAGAGCAACTGGATATTTAGAGACTGCTATTCTGGCGTCATCAGGATCAATCTCTGAATTTACATATAGTCAACCTAAGCACACCGACGACCGATAAATCAAAGTTGGCACCAGTTGCTAAGGTTATATTTTGGAACGATTGGACCTGCAACTATAGACTTGATAGCAGTTGCACGTAGAAGCCAATATCTGGAGTAAAGCGTAATGCTCTTATACCTATAGACTGCGACGGATCTGATAAAATGCTTAAAACTGTCACTCGACCTCATCTGGTGGTGTTATTGAAATACCTTCTCATAGAATCACTGAACTGAGTCGCAGATAGATTCCATCATGTAGATAAATGAAGACTTATATTGCTAAACACAACAACTAATATACCCTTTGAAATTAATTGAAATTATTACATCGTTATAGAGCATATAAGACAAATTATAAAATTTCGAGTAAGCAATACCAGAGAGCAGTTAGGAATCAAATGAAGTAGTAATTGATTTATGTTTGATAAAGAGTATGACATTGTCATTATAAGATACCTAATAGTTTTTATTCAATTCTTAATAGTGTTAATAGAAGATCTAAAATAGCTCATTATTTGTTCATATTATATATGCTAGTCGTGATGACAAAGGTTCAGTGTCTTGTAGTAAACTTAGCAAAAGATGACTATTAGACCCAAATAAGACTTCTATAATATCTACGAATTTCTATAATAGAAACGCCACACCTTTGACATTGATATGCGTCTGGACATCTAAATGATACAAGATCTGTTCCATGCGTTAAAGACTGTCAATGAAATTGAAATTTCAATTTAGGAAAACTAAATAAATGGATTGTTGATGTTCTTCAAGTAGCCACCGCCAATCAGTTGTTTTCAGTTGTTGGAAATTCGAACCCTTCTTTGTAAACACGTGCATTGATAATACAACACCATTTGATATACGTAGCTGCAGAAGTGTGCGCTTGGTGCAATCGTTTTACATAATAATACTTGTTTAAAAAACGTTACAAGCAAATGAAGTTCATGAAACAAACATTAATGGAAAAGAATGATTTTACAATTCGATCTAAAATTGACATATATGTTTCTTTTTAGAAGAACAAATTTCTATCGAGCAGAAGTGGATGCCAGGTACATTCCAGTTTTTCAGGACAATAAGTTGAAATTCTTTCATTAAATTCTCTTGACAAATGTCGAATATTACATCCCTTTAAATCAAATTTCATTAAAATCAGATTACCGATTTTGTACGTAACAAAAGGAAATATAATGGAGTTTTACGTCTTAAATAAATTCTTCGTCTGATTGTGTGACGGGGTATGGGCGTAATATATATATAAATTGAAGCAATTTGCGTGGTATCCTAAAATCCTATTTCGTCATAAATTTTCGACTTCGAGAATTCTGCTTATATTCCGGAACGAAGCATACCATTATTTACGTGAACAAGGAAGTTAGTATTTTTCAAAACGCCAATAATTTTCACGGTGTACGCTAAATATTTAGGGATAAGTCAAGTCTTCACACGAGCGGCCAAGTGTTACTTTTCATTTAGTTGATTACAATGTTTGAACATGAAACGATATATAAGGTTATAGCTATCTTGGCATTAAGATACTGTTTGTCCATCGCGTTAGACGAATTATGAAAGTGTCATTAATAATGTAGACGGATTAAAAGATCGGATTGCCTATCGTATAAATTGGTTGAACTAATCAAGTGCCTACGCACTTCGTACAAAAAACGCACCTTCGTCGTCTGCCAATTTAAAAGCTGTGTGCAAGTGGACAGCCATCTATTTTACAAAAAAGGATATGACTATTACCGTTATTTGATTTATTACAGGTACAGATTAGAAAGATAAGGAAATAGCTATTTGTGAAATTAGTAACTTGATTTTCTTGATATGAAGTTCATCGATATTATTGCTGGATTTCTTTTATGTGTATTAGGTGTTTGTGACTCTAAACCTTCAATATATAGTATTCAAAAACGGTTAAAGAACTTGCAATCAGCAGCGAACAAGAATCATGAAAAGACAATGTTTTCCATGAGATACACAGGATCGGATTTAACATCAGATAGCGGAAGGGGTGATTCAGGTAATACACTTATCTTCCTTATTTGTAAATACAGTTGTTTATCACAATAATTCTTACAAAATATCGTGATTTAAAGCTTAAAAAGACAGGTGTGCCATTTGGGGGGCGGGGGTGATGGGGTTGATTTTAGTCTTGAATATATGTAAATAGTCTTCAGAATTACTAGAAATGAGCGAAAATCACATAATTCCTTTAAAATACTTCAAACTAGGAATTTTACTCACTATTTCTATATATGCCTTTTCTATATATCACAGAGTATCTTTAATTGACGAGTCGTCATTTTAACATTCAAACGCAGATAAGTCTGGAAAGACGTGGATTTGAAGGCTCAAATTTCGACGGTGAGCTGTGAACACTTTTACTGTAAAGCCTCGCTCAGAAATTCCAGTTTTTGAGACTAACGTCTGGTCTAAAAACTAATCCCAGTACCAAAGATTTCATTGGAAATGTGTTATATTACATGATGTGTATTAACAAGGGAATTTCCCAAAATTTTTAAATGTAATGAAAGTGTCTGATTAATCCAGATTACAGGATTTTTACTTTGACGTGAACGCGTCTTTTTCGTTTTAGATTAAGAAATTGATTTTCCACTGCCTTATTTAGAATTTTACAATTCTCTTGGTTTTATACATTATTGTAAAAATTTAAAAAATTGTTTCCTATACATGTGACGTGTATCGAATTATGAAACCTTCAATTTAAATGTTTATGGAAAACAAACTTTGATTAAATTTGCTGTATCAATTGCATTCAGTTTGTTTTTTAGGGGCGGGAGCTTATGGTATTCGTTTGTACTTTGAGGTTTGTTACATAGATTTTTAGTGGTCCTGTACGGAGAATATCCGAACACCGTTTCATGTTGAGAAAATAACCACTGTTATGTTGCACGGGCCATTCTCATTCTGAAACACGAAATGGCATTCTGAAACTTTTCAACTTGGTTAACCTTCAAACATCTATACATGTAGTTTGTTTTCTACAAATGAATATATATCGCTAGTTTATAACTGAATATAGTCTTCTTTCCTTTTCTATTCGTTTCGATTCAGAGTTGAAAAAGACCCAAGAAACAATTGGTAGCAGTCTTCGAAAATCTAAGTTTCTAATTTGTAAAATATTGGTGTCTTTCTGTAAGCGTATCTGAATCAAATGAAATGGTATAGCATAGAATTTATATATAACAAATCCTGTAGATATTGTTTCATTTCAAGGTGTATTATTCTTCTTGTGGCAGATTTGCAACAAATATTGATTTATTTCTATTTCATACATTCCCAAAATAAGAAAAAAACTGGTAGGTGCCGAAAGACAAGGTTCAAATTGCACTACATTTGTTGCATCTTGCATCCAAAAAAATATGGCTAAAATAAAATCATGCCCCACGTGGGTGAATTCATGGTTTTTTTTGTCTAGTACACTTAGTAATGAAAAGCAAAATAAAATGTTGTCCGTTCAGTTCAGATTGCAGTTCTGACATCGGCAGCAGTGGCATTTTCTCTTAATAAAATGAACAACATTATTCAAACCTATGAGAATTTACTGGATAAATTTGAGAGTTATTTGTGCCTTTATCATTTAATTTCCCTTTACCTTGTATATTATTAATCTTAAATTGACAAATAACGAACCTCGAAAGGATTAGTTGACCGTATTTTATCTTGTCTATTCCTTTTTTTATATTTAATGTAAGTTTAATGTAGTTTTCTCTTGTTTACGATAGCTTACTTCTATCATTATAAACTTCGTGTGGATGCTAATGCTTTAGTGATATTAATACCGAAACAAAGACAAGAAATCGCTTAGCTTTAAAAGTTCATTCCCATTATATTTTAAAAGCTAAGTTTTTAATTTGTTTATGAGAAGTTTACATCGTTATCAAAAGATAATCTATCGCATTCTTTTCGATTAGGTTCAATAACAACTCTCTGACATTAAACATTGGGAATATAGTACGCAGGTGCAGTTACAGGTAAAAACTACCTTCATTTAAATTTAAAGTTAAATATTGAGAAGAAATAACATTAAAGGGGCAGAATGCAAAATTTTCACAATACCTAAAAATGTTTATATGATATTTACATCCATGTATCTACTTGAACAAACTGAATTGTTTTTCAAAATATTATAAATATAGAGACTCTATTTAGATATAGAGACATATTTCTCTACAATTAGGCGTTTATTTTGCTCAAATCGGTACAGTAGTTTAACCCCCCCTAAAATCATCATAACTTTAAAAGTTTACGCAAGCCTTTTAAATACTGTTGGCGTTAAAAAGTTAACGACTGTTCGTGGCTAAAACTTTGTCCAGTATTGTTCAAGGACACATTTCTGTAGTTTATGGTATATGGTTTTCATAAATTAGAATAAAAAATTTTCCATTTTCGAAAAAACAGAATGCCCCTTTAAGGTAACATTTTGCAACTTCATTGTTTTCCACTTGTCGTCGAAAAACAGTTCAAGTCCATAATCCAAGTAATGTACGATAATAGTAATATATGGCTGAATTTTGTCCATAATAACGTGAAATTGAAATTTCATTGAGAGTTCCAAATTTTATATGGAAATATTGTAGAGTTAGGCCTATTGTACTTGTTAGGGACAATAGTTACATCTGCATACTTGTATTGACAATTTCCTTCATTCGAAAAGGTATCTTGATATTCTTGAACATTTTGCATTGACTTTAATCAAAATATGATAATTCAAAAAGTATGTATTTTCTCCTTCATTATAGAAAACAAATTAATGGTGGTCATATTAGGATGATGAATAGTAAAACGTTTTTATGTAAGTTTTAATGATATAATGTAATGTTGGAGTACTGATATTTTGATTTTGTTTTCAATGTACTTTGAAACATTAAATAACTTTTGACTATATTAGGAAGTGGGCTAAATCATGATAGACCATTGCTCAGTTATGGCTAGATTATGTTTAAGTGTTTAAGCGTTTTTTGACAAACAGGATGAAAGTGTTACGCAAAATATAGGATCCAGAAACTCAAATGAAATGAAATGAATGGAGTTTTACGTCCTGAAACTGCACCATTTAGGCTAATGAAGACGGGTAACGCCATGCAGGCCACAATGAGGGAAATTATTCCAGGAGTGGCATTAGCCTGCTCTCTTTCGATTTCCAACTGTCGAGGGATCGTTAAAGTGCACAGCCTGTAGCACACGGGGTCTCGGTTTATTGTCCCATCCGAACGACTAGACGCGTTTCTCAACGTATGCCGCGACTGAAACCCATGACTAAGTCTGTGAATCTGTTTCAACCGTTCGTCTTTTTCTTTTAAAGATCAAACGTAATAACTTTTCCTAACCACTCGCCCTATGCCGCTATTTTCTGCTCCTGCTTCATTTAAGTTATCAACTAGCCCAGTGCAATTTTTCTGAGCCTGTTCATTGAACAATGAACACTTCAAAGTTACCTGTGGGTGACATGCTAAAAATATCTCATAATTTGCTTATAAATATTTCTGCAACATCCTGTCGGGAAAAAGAACAATTTTGAAAATTGATGTTCTATTAACAATATAAGGTTATATTGCTTTGAGGCAATAATAAAAGTTTCCAAGTTTGCGCTCCATGTGACAACATACCACTGGCGACTAGCGACTGTTTTTTGATCAAATTGATAATGTTATCTGATAGAGGAATGATGGAAATGTTCCATTATACAAATCTATGGTTATTTCAAGCATTAGTAAAACCACAGAGCACAGTATATCGCAAACAATGTATTTAACCACGCTTTCATCACCGATACCACTCTGATTCCTGCATCCAAGTTTCCCCACTCAGAGGTTCACGGACCTTTATATGTATTAATATAGTATCAGATAAAATGTAGTGGTTGGGGAGTGGGTGTCAATATTCGTATAAAAAGCTATAAACTTATCATGCCTATTCGGTTTATTATGAATCGAGCTGATGATAATAAAAAAACGGGAAAAATGCAGGAGAGACGTATTAGCCTTATAAATCAGTAATATAAGCAGAACTATTAAAAATCGGCACTCAATCCGCTGAAATCTTTCCCGAGCAAATATTGATAATTTGAAACATATTGTTGGTTTTGTAAGACATTTGAGTCTAAAAATCTGGAGGTTTTTTTTATAAAAGATTTGATTCATAAAATCACTTCATAAAGAGGTTTTCTAAATATTTTATGATTTTTGTGGACCTTGATAGCACCAATTTAATCCATTCCAATTTTCACTCAGACTTCTACGGTTTCTGCAATTCCATTTAAACTAAGTGTTGCATGACGTCATTAAGCCCGAAATATGTATTATCGCACATTACCCTTTGCGATTATTGATGTTATCCAACACTTAGTTTTAGTGGAATTGCAGGAGCCACCTAATTATAATAAGACTAAACTTCCTTACCGTTTCTTTTATTTATCATATCGCTGCTTCAGCTAAACGTCTGATTGAAGATGGTGCAATTTGATGACCTTGGAAGATTAGTATGTGACTGACAGTTTGTCGCTTACTTAATACTTAGAAACAGTCTGATTAAAATAAGACCAATCTTTCGTTCCGTTTTTATTAGTTATAATTTTTGATATGGCCACTTCATTTAGGATCTAAAGACGGGCCTTTGTAACATTCGTCACAATAACCTTTGGTCTGCCCCTACTCACTGTGCGTTTTTACTTTGGGGTTGCCGGATTTGCCACCCGATCACCTCCTCCCCACCTTTCTTTAAAATTTCGTGGCCCCTGCTCGGCCCCCTCACCTGATGTTTCCTAGAAATGCCACTACCCTACTTTAACTAATCAAATTTCTGTCGCTGGGATTTTGTGAGTGGGTAAAGAAATATGATCAAGCAGGCTAAGTGAGGACTGATAAGAAACGGAACGAAAGTTTAGTCGAATTTTAATTAGACTGACTTAGAAATAAACATATTTCAAAACAGGTGTAAATTTTTAAGTGGCAATGCCCGAGTCATAAAGTTTTACCATTCGCACCATTCGGAGTGTTTCAAAATCAAACCACATTCATTTAATTTCTTTTTAAACATAAAACATAATATTATTCACGATCAATATACTTAATCATGTCTCCAAGCATTTAACCGTTGGATGTCAAAAGTGGTTGCCAATATAATCATACCTTAAGTAACTACAGGGCGATCGAAGAAGGATGGAATCACACAGGTCTAGTTTGAGCGTCAGTTATTTTTAGAATAAAGGACAGAAAAAATATTTTTGATTGAATTATATACAATATTTTATTAATAATCGTTATGTTGGTATATCGTTTAGTAAAAGTTTATAAAAACTACTTCACATCTTCGACGTGTGTCATATTGATTCTACTTTGAAATAAGAAATTGGAGAGTGATACAAATAAAGGTAATAAAGATATCGATATCTGACTTCCGGTATTGTGTGAAACGCCAATTGCCCACCCACACTAAAACAATAGTAGAAAATAGATTCTGTCGAAGGTTCGTATGCCAAAATAGCTATTTAATTTAAGAGTCAGTACCTTACTAATTGTATTTTCATGGTAAAATCCATTTACGCTTCCTGAAACTTAGATTATTTAACATAAATTTGTGATTGGAATAGTTATCATTTACCACGACGTGATCGTTTGACATTTTTGACGATAAAGTACTACGTGACACATGAGGGTTTTATCAAGTACATGTATTTGTATGAATGATATCAGTTTTTAACCCTTATTATGGTTTCCAAGCGGGTTTCCAAGAGAAATATGATATTATAAAACAGATTTTTCAACAAAAAATAACAACGTACACGTCACGTCACACAATCCACTGAAGACTCATTTCGGCCAAGTTTCAATTTATTGTTCATCCTAATAAGTAGTATTCCTTTAAACAGTTTTTAACCTTAATTAATAGGCTAAATGGTAACTATTCATAACCTTCAATACTTGCATCATGTTGGTTAAATAACCATACAAGAAAACTCATTGACATAGCCCTAAAAACGCTTAGAATCATTCGATATTTCGCAAGATGTTTACAATGGTGTTTGTGTCATATGTCTAATCTAGTGAAACCACTGATTGAAATAGGAGTGCATGGATATCTTCATAAAAGTGTAATAACTGGTGATCAAATTAATACTATTAAGAAATTGATGAGGTATCGAACCCAAACGCGATATAAACCACTATATTACATCGTCTTCACAACAAAATGTTGAGAGAAAATCACTGACATTTACGCTTAATTTCAGATGACACCCTTACTTCCAGAATGCAATAGTTAAGACATTAGCATCCTAATTGAATATACATTTAGTAATAATCAGATCAAGAACAATTATTCAACCAACACGGAATCAGATGAACTTTGGAGAGGACGGTTAATTTAAATCTATCGGTTTTTTTCTTTTTCAGTTTTACAATCGGAAAATGATAAAAATGAATATATTAAAAAGATTTTGGCTCAAAGACATTCACATCGACCTTTAGTTAAAAGTGAGTATAGTTATTGACAATTCGTCCTTGTTATCAAGAAACAGCTCCCACATGATATGTTAAAAAATAACGTCATTAGAACGTACCTCCAATGGAAAACTGGTAAGATTAGGCTAAACTGGAAATGAAAATTATCAGAAAAAGAAATTTCAATTTGTTTGGTGTGATAGAAATAATCTTTCACCCAATATACTTTAGTAATATATTAATATCAATGATATCTTCCATTGTAGTTAATCATCAGGAGGTAGCTGATGGAGAAGGATTAGATGAATATGTAGTAAATAGATTGATGAAAGAACATCGACAACTTAAACATAAAAGAGGTATGTTGAAGTATTTTTTTGCTCCATTTGTGGCAATACGTCTTATTTCATATCAGACATTTATAGTCAAGATAACAAATACATAATGTGACTAATGAAAAGTTAATTTTTTAACGAACATAACTTATTAATTTTGTCGATGATCTTTTCCAATTAAAGACCGTGACAACATATACTGTCCAGATGAGTGAAGAAAGGCTACCTTATGAACCATACAATTATTGGAGACTTTTTAGCCCAAGCACAGCAAATTGAGACGTGAAACTAGTTTTATTTGTTTTTCCTCACCATGATCCACTCTTGTTTTCTCCAAAATGCGAAATTCTATGAATGAATCAAATTCGTGACAATTCGTCTCACTCTTCTGCCTCTGCCTAGCCAAATGAAAGCGGACATGGCCATGTTCTGTCTGGTCGGTTAATTTGGCCTACTCTTTTTTGATTTGCTAACACTTACAGAGATCTTTAACGTGTACAGCGTGTAGCGCATTTACAATCAGTTTATTGAAAAATCTTTAGAAAACCAAGATGACCAAGTTATTCTTTTTCATCTTGGCTAAAGGTATTGGAGCATAAATTACATAGATAAAATGAGGTGGGGTGGTGAAAAATAAACAGTGTTCAATACCCTGAATTAAATCCGTAGTAAATTACTATATATCAAGATGTATCAAGTGTTTGAGAAGGCATTGATAAAGATTCTCAAAGGTCTTTAAAGATGTGAATATTTGCATTTAATAGTTGTACTTTATTTTTAGCATGTCGAGGAGTTGAACGTAGGTTAAAAACATTAAAATGCCCATCAGATCGTTCTATATGTTTATTAGATGAAATGGTATGTAATGATTATCCGGATTGTCCTAACGGAGAAGACGAGAATCCTGCTGTGTGCCTTATTCATGATTGGGTAAGACAATATACTTATCTATCTTGAGAGTAATTATCATAGGAAATATTATTGGAAACATTGTGTTATTAAAAACCAATTAGTATTAGAAGTGTTTATTGGTAAATTTGTTCTAAAAATTCTAATATAATTGTAATTCATGTCCATTTTGACACACCGTATTGCGTTAGCGATGGTTGAGATAGATTTTGCAACTTTAAATATACAAAATAATTTTTAACATAATCACATCCAGCACGAACACATAATACTTTATAAGATTGATGTCTAGCCTAACGAGCAATAGGTAAATTGTAGCTTCCTTTCGTACCATTTTTATTTTCAATAAAACGCCTAAAATTCTACAAGACCACTAGCGTCTGTTAGCTATTTGGACATATATCACCTGGTGTAGAGACAGAAAAAATAGGCCCTGATAAATGGGCATATCCCGCTTTTCTGCAGATGCGGAAGTTTTAAACCTATTTGGATACCTCGGATCCGCAAAACCCATGTTTATATCGAAAGATGAATATTTTTGTAGTTCAGTCATGTCATGATTTTCTCCCTACACCATTTATAACATGACTCCAATTTACAATCATCTTAAAGGTAATTCAATATTATGTCAGAGAAAACGCAATTTTGGAGGTGTCGAAAATCCCCATTTAACAGTGTCTATTTCTTCTGAGTCTACATGGCATTTGTTTCTCAGCGGCAATGACACAATGCTTGTGTTTTTATTTCCAGGCTTCAAGATGGTTTTCAAAGATTCAGTATTACCTAATACCAACTAACGATATATAGGTGTTTATGAAGAACAAAGTTGACAGTTGCAAATATTTTCTTATACCTTCTGACAGACACATTATATCTTCAAATAAGCTATCGCTTTGCAAAGTTTTTTTTCAGGGCCCCGCATGCCAAGTTCTTTGCTGTAGGTTTTGTAATTAATGTTGTCATGTTTAGAATTATAATCTGTAGTTATATAACTGGTGAAAATATGTACACATTTAATAGTACATAGTAGTAGTACAGAAAGAAACCAATTGTAGTTATTCGTAATACTTTTCAAAATAAAAAAACTTACGTCTGGTCTAGTGACGATATTTCAAGTTTTTATTTTTTATAACTTACGTTCATGCAGATATTGTTCATTAGCACGGGAGAAAGCTCAGGAAGGATGTTCCTTTCTGAAAACTACTAAACATTTCCATTTAGCTAAGCTAATCGGTTGTAGTATCGAAATGTGAGCCTTCAAATCAACATGTGGTCAGAATTATTCGCGCTTGAAATAAGCAAAAATTAAGACTATTTACGTATATTCTAGGCCCAAATCAACCCTCCAAAATGGCGAAAATTGTGCCTTTGATTAAAAATTACTAAATTAATGTGGGTGTATAAAATAAATCATTACGACATTATCTAGTTTGATTTGTTATCTCCTCTGAGAATATAAAATAAAGCTGTTAATCTATTATGATAACCGAGTTATAAATGAAATGAAATTAATAGTGTCTTATGTCAAAATCAGTTTTAAATTAGATTAAACGAATATTAAGGTCCGGAGATGGTTAGGTTGTCCGAGCTTTTTTCTTTTTACATGAACGCAAGTTGAGATTTCTATTTGATTGTCGATACATTACAATATAAAGGAAGTGATGACCGGAGCACGGGTCCTGCCACAATGCGGACACAAAAAGCGTATTCTTCTTGCATCTGTACCAATAATCACACACACCTCTATACCAGTCTGATTAAAATTAGACCAAATTCTCGTTCCGTTTTCATTATCTTTTATTTGTAATATAGCAGAGAATTCTGGACAGACATGGCTTTGAAGTTCAAATGAGTTGTGAACACTATTACTGATTGGCTTAGCTAAAAAATTCCCGTTTCTTAGACTAAGGTATGATTGGTCAAATAACAGATCTTTAAGATAGCATTGGCATGATTCATTATTGTTCCAAAATTCAGAAATATCGTATTATGCATATCTATCACTCATGATATTAGTAATGCCCACACAGTTGTGCATAAGGAATTTTTATAACATTTGGACACCTGGACCGACAAAAAGTTTTTTTAATTTTTTTTTTTAAGAATCCTGCTCTAATAATAATTCCGAGAGTGAAAGGGACGCAACTCATATCCTAATGACAACGAACGGACCGCAACTCAATCGATGATTTGGTTCTTTCCGAAACTTGCCTACTTTCAAACTATAATCAAACAGAAAACTAAAGAGCGTTCGAATCTTGACGTCAAACGTTTTAATGGTTGAAAGTCTTTGTCACGTCGAGCAGATGGTGAAGTTTTAATCTCGATGGGCCCGTGAAAGTTTGGCAGACAGGGTCCTATTGTGATCAACAGAATCTAATAAGTTCCGCCACAGTTACGAAACAGTCATGTCGACAAATTTACTGACTGCTGGCATTGCGACCGTTCAGGTCGAGGTTCGGATTAATTTTTTTAATGCAATGCTGTTCTGTCTCCTGTGTGCTTGGGTCAACTAAATCCTGGTACTGATCCAACTCTCCCAGATAAAACTCCGGAAGTTCTAAAAAAATCTCAGTCACAAGGACGACCTGTGCCTGCATTTTAAGTTGTTATTCTCGTAAATCAAGGTTTTTTCTTTCTTTTGTTCTTCTGGATAACTTATTGCTTGTCATCACGATCTTCTATATCATTTTTCCATCTTAGATATACAATATACACGAATCTTTGAGTGATGTATGGTCCAGAGAAATCTTAGTATTCTCCAAAACTAAATGAGTTTATGTTAACTATGAAATAATGTAGTGACTTGAATAATATAAAAGGAACAAGTAATGGGCAAATGGAAAATTGTGTAATGCATCTCAAAGTCAATCAAATACTTGCTATAGAAATTTTTTCAAGTTTAGAATATAAGGAACTATTTACAAAAATATAATTTAATGATGATGAATAATATATTAAGGGATAATAATGATATGAATTGGTTATGTACAAAAATGAAACAAACTGAAAACAATAATTATTTCTTAGAATTTATTCAATAATTCTATATAACCTTATCCTTCCAGAAAATATATATTGGCATCAAAATAATGAAATTATAACAAGTCAAAAAATATTAGTTAAATAAGTTTAGATCTATAAATTTTAGAGTTTCAGACAAAATAGCAAACGAGGCCTCTTTTGTCATACACATAATCAGATGTCTTTCTGTGACAATCGTTGACCAAATTTTTAAAAAGCATCAGCCAAAGACTTGAAAATACTACGTATGTTTATTTCAAAAGATAATTAAATTAATGCAATCCAATCAAATTGTCGAAATTTATTTTTTACCAAGGCCGAAATAAGCTTGTTTAAAATTATCAACATAACATAGAGCATCTTTTCCATTATATGGATCCCATGTCACCAGTGAAACGGCTCTTTCTACGCTGTATAAACCATAGTCACTATTTAAACTACTCACGCTCATCATCATCTGATCAAAGAATGAAGGAGTACCACAACTGAAGATGACAAACTGAAAAAGAAGTATATATATTTTAAGTATTTTAAGATCTAAAATGCGACTGTGGTGGTAAGATTTGCGATATAAGAAGAATGTCAACCAATTTCATGATCTCTTAACCATCAGTGCAATTCTGATATGTCAATATATTTTTTATATTAAAAAAATCCTTACTCTATTTGGTGTAACTGATAACATTTTATAAGCATCCATAATAATACCAGCTGATCTCAACCGTAATACTTCCGTAGTATAGTTTCTCATGACTTCCGTATATTCTTCAAGACCGCCTAAAACAAAACAACTTCTTCATAAGAACAATTCATACCGCTCAATAATTTATGATAGGATATAATAAGGAAACAGATATACAATTTGGTCAATGTAGAATCCTATTTTTGATAAAATCTTACTCTGTAATCTCAATTTGAAGGCACCCGTATCAATTCGTTTAATTCAGGACTAATTCAGCTTTCTCGAGATCATATTCTACAGCATAAATATTGTTACATACCTGGAGATTCTACGGAGGTTTCAAACATGTAGACTCGAGCACATGGCAATGCACGCAGTGGAGTGAAAGTTAAGTCTCTCTGTACCCCAAGGAAGGTTGAGAAGGCTTCAAATGAGTACAGAGGAATAGTCTCGATTTCCATACCAAAATTAGTAACTCCCAAAGCAATATCACATAAAGCACCAGGTGTAGTCGTCTTAACAACTGAAAGGATACAGTAAAAGAGTCTTATTTATCACCAGAAGAAGATTAATTCATTTACCCAAAGTATTCTTATAACTTGAGCACTTAAACATTAGACAACTAGTAGTTTTGAAATAAGAGCATAAGAAATCCATCAAATGTAGCTTAAGATGTATACAAATCCATGTATAGCGGCATTAGCATCAACGTGAAACTTTCTTTCAATTTGATATGGATTGGACACCTCAGAAATATAATCAGAAATAAACTTACTTGCCAGGATTCTGGGTTCTCCAGTTATCTACAAAAATAATAATTTTTTTTACTATCATTAAACATGCGCTTTTGGAGGATTTTATTTTAAACCCTCAAAATTGATGTGGAAGTGTATTTGTTGCCAAAGGAGCTAATGTGACAGGACGAGACAGTTTGTGGATATAACATAGTGATAGATATAATTAACAGACAAGTACAAAAGGAACGTTTGCATTTCCTAACGTTTCCATTTATATACTTAGCTATTATAACTAATGGTGTTAATCTGATTTACCTACTAATATTTTCGACGAGTAGCATCAAAACTTACTTTAAATATGTGTAATGGTACCACACTTGGAAGATAGTTTTTAAGAAGTTGACCTGCAGAAACATAAAGTGGTCTGGCATAGAGAGGAGTTCCTTGTACAGGGATTGCCATGGTGATCATGTAGTATTCCCAATCAGCGTCAGGAGTTGGTGGTATAACTTGGCATCTTCCATAGTTAACCAGGAATATAAGGGCTAGGGTACCAATCAGATATCTGCCAGTTGGAATCATTTCTCAGCTTTTTTTGGTACCCTTGTAGCTGTAAAAGAAAGTGATCTGTTGAGAATCAAATTTTATTCGCTGAAAATGTTGCTGAAAAGCACACCTTCTGGAGAATGAGGTTTTTTACGGTTATATCCTATCCTACCTTACCATACCACTTTAATTCTATGACCAAACGGTTGTAATGTTGATATCAAAGCGGTACAAACAGAAAAGAAGGTTTTAGACAATTGTCCATCATTGACTCTTTTCGGTCATGATTTTAAGCCAAACTGTATCTGTCACAATTTTAGAAGTATCACACGATTCTCGTTTTCTTCACGTCTTCATCAATGGTACAAAAGAAATTTTGGTTTTTACTTATGTGTATTTGGTATCCAATCTCAAAATACAGCTTGCTACACCTTTCTACGCGAGGATCACAACCAGGATGAATAAAATAAGACAAGCATTAACTAATCCATCAAAATACTATGACGAAAAATCAAGGATTGTTCGTGGTTGATTCCTATTGATGGATAGATATCAAACCACGCCTTTTTTTTGTAAATTTTTAATTCTGACAGCCAACCAATGAAAATAAGTTAAATCTGTTGGTAAAATGATGCCCCTCAGCCTAATTAGTGAGATCACGTAGGATTAAAATATATTTTTAATGTTCAATAAAGTAACATTACGCTAATTGGTATAAGTGCTTTCAGATTAAAACTAACGAACTTAGTGAACTCTCATTTTGTTTTTTTGTTTTTTTATTTTAATTAATTATTTTTTTTATTTTTGGGAAAAGTTATTTTTGTAAAGATTTGCGTAAAACATTTGATAGAGAAGATAGCTGCTGGCTGTGTTTGAGCACTGATTGTAATTTTTTATCTAAACCGACTGGTTCTAATTTAAGAGCAGCTCGACAAAATATAGGCTTACCCGTTCCTCGAATATATGAATGCGATATCGGCACATGTAGGGCTAGTCATAAAATGTCACTTTTTGCTCCTATCCATTTTTGGATGGCTCGTTTCTGAGCGTTATCACCAAGACAAAAGGTAAATTTGACATAAATTTTGGTATCTATATAAAGCTGGGCCATTAATAAGTTCATCAAGACTCGATCAGATATTCTACCATGTTCTAGTACCCCACACACTACCACAATACTGGCTAAGAGTAGAGTTTTACGAAGAAGGAAAAGCCTACCTCTCGACTGCATTGTGGTACCATGTAGGGATGTTGTAGAATACCTTCTGGTCACGTGGTGAACTCTTTAAAGGTTCAGATATAGTTATCAAAATATGCCAAAATTTGCTTTTTTCATATTCCAAATTCTCAAAAACTGGTAATCGAAAAATGAATCGGAGCAATTGTCAGTAAAGCTGACGATATCTATCACAACAGAATATTACACCAAGGAACAGGTGTATATATACAGATATATATATATTAGGTAACAAATAGAGACTTAATACTGAAGGGTGCTCTCCGTAGTGGCAAAAGCCAAGTCTTAAGCAATATTCTTTTCATGACTGTTAAAAGCGGAAGCTCACAAACATTTACGACCCCATTAGAGATATAACTAATTCATCAAAAATTTAATGCATAAATGCCATTGCCGAGGACTTGACAAAACGCGTAAGAATTTGGGGCACATTCAGCAAAAATGCATATACATTGAAATTTAAACTTAACAGATGTAGCCAAGACATAAACGATAAAATGATGTATCAAAAAAACTGCTGATAAACTGTCGAAATATACAAATACTTATTTCCGCATAGTATTGTCGACGATTTTAATTTTAATTAAACAGATTTTGAAAGGCAATTTGGTGTCAAACAGGAAATTTCTTTCTGTTTAGAGATAAATTAATGAGTATAATTAAACGAAATAAGCATTATCACAATAATTATGTTGTGGCGTGATATAACATAAATATTTAGGCCCAAGGCTTGATTAATAAACCTCGTTAGCTATAATATAATATTTCTTATCTCATTAATTAAACTTAAGCAACATCATTAACTAAAATTCACCCAATTGATAATTTTACAAATATGACTTGGTTTGTATTTTCCGGTTTGACAGCGGTGATAATATAAAGATCGACATGGCCCAAATTTGACTGGACTAAACACCTAGTCAGATTTAACCAGATAGTGTCACAGAGTGTCAAATCGCAGATGATAAAGTTTGAGAAAGCGGTGAACACGTGATATTCATTTTAAAAACTTATACTTTCCTTAAACATTTTAATCAAAAGAAAGTATTATACATTTTATTGACGCCAATTTTATGACCCACGATTACCTCCGAAATAAATATGAATATCAATTGACTATAACGCTATTTAAAATAAAAAAATATATAAGGACATCCTACCTCTCACTTATAAAATCTTTCGATTATGAGACGATGATTATTCCATTCATTTCAATTTTATAGATTTACTAATCACGTGATTTCTCAAAATATACCCAATGAACAGTAAATAATCTGTCAAAAAATGACGAATAGATTTCTCTTCTTGATGAGATACCCTGGGCAATATTAAACAAGAAAATATGCCTTCTGTCTAGGTCTAACATGGTTAAACCCTTCTGGGTCAAACACAGGTCCTTTTTAGCCCATAATTAATTGGTCTTTGAAGAAATTAAAATGTTACTTATGTAATGGAAAAGACGGAAAATGATAACCCGATTCTTTTGTTATTTCATGTTAGTGAAAAAAGACGAGTGCTCCAGGACTGTAACCTCGGTCAATTCGAATCATAAAGTTGTTCATCACGATACGTGTCACCGTCTAGGCGATGACCTGCTCCCTTTCTTGTACTTTCAACTTCTAACCTGATTCTACTCCATCGGTCAGGGTCACCATAATTATGTTGCCAGCCCTAATTTCATTTGATTTTTTTTTCTAGCTAAACGATTGAATACAATTGAATCTAGATGGTTTTTTAGTTTCGTATTCAGATCAAGGATTCTGATTGATTGCATCTTTACACTGAACAAATTAAGGACAATGTTGAGTGGCTGGAACAGAACAGTAAGTTTCATATGATGGCAAATATTTGCAATATGAGATATATTGAAGGGGTGTGACCTTCATTTATCCTTTTAAATGATTAAGATTGTTTCTACTAGTAAGAAAATATATTCATTTGAATAGTTGAGCAAACTTGTGCATTATTATCTCTGGCTTATAATGTCTGGTTGGCAGTTGAGATGTTAATGTCCGATTACAGCAAAAGCTGATGTGCAGACTTTGCAGGTGTAGACATTCGTGGTGAAGTCCTATTGGATCGGGAAAACCAGGAGGGTTAAGAAGGCTGTACTGTTGCTTTGATACCTGCGTATGATCTTCAATTCTTACCGACACTAAAATAGATGCACTCTTCAACATTTAAACTAATACAAAGTCCAGCTCACTCGTCGCCACTTGAATCGACCCAGTTTGTAGGCTCGAGTTACGCCCCTTTCACGGAAAACCTCTTTTCTATAAATGTTATAGACTTGCATACAACTGAGTGAGCAAGTTAATGTCACTGGCACATGCGAGTGGTGTACGAGCAAGTTTGTCAAAGCCTTTCTTCTGTTATTCAGGTTATTCAGGTTCGCTAATGGTAAATCATTTTTTATATACTGCTTTTCCAAACAAGAAACAAAACAAATTCGATTAACAAGTCCGATAAAACAGTTCCAGTTTTATTCTATTATAAATGATGTTTAAACTCCCTAAAACTTTTCAAATTAATTGTTTTTAACTGTTCAAAATGTGAGATTGAAAGGGGTCAATATTTGAAAACAGTGGCATAGGCTAACATCTTTTGATTTTCCGTTCTGATGATATCCAAATCTGGTATCTTGATGCAGTCAAATCCGCGCGTGGGGGCACATTTTTCTTAGTAAGCCCACTGCCGAAAATATTCTTTATTTATGGCGTGTTCATACAGAACATCTTAGATTACTTGAGATGTTTCTAGTTTTGTGTATGATTGTCGAGGCAATTAATCAAATGTAAATCATAAATTGAAATGTAGACTGACGAATTGATGTATTCTAGTATATTCAATCACTGCTCTTGGGTGTACAAGTAAATGTGTTAATTACGTAGTATGACTGAATAGCTGATATCGAGAATAAATCTACCTGTACTATGAACACTCACGTACCATATTATATAGGACTCAGACCACTGAAATATTTTATTCAAATGATTATATTCGAATTTAATCGTTGTTATGTTTGGGATGTTAGTATGGTTATTGTTAAGTAATGTTTTGGTCTAGATTTGAAATTTGATGTCTGAAATTAATTGCATTTTCTTGCAGATTTTTTGAGATGATGAGAGATTTACATGCGGAAGGATAATTCTAAAAAATAGTCGTTTTGTGAGCAGTGACAGTCAAGCGGATGTTGATAAAATTTTGTTATGCTGATGCTATATTGAATTTCTGTCCAGAAACTAAATATTGGTGAGGCTTTCATTTTCCAGATTTCTGGTAAAAGTTGTAGAGGTGTGAATTTCGTGATAAATGAAAATGAATTAGTGGTGTAGGTCCATATAGTCCCTGGGCTGGAGGAGCTCACTTGGCACCACCCCCACCACAGACTGAAACTGTAATAAGTTTACACAATGACCACTGTAACTATTCAACAGTTAACCACATGGTCAGTGTTTGAACGTTAAAACCATTTTTTTTATCCGGATATGGGTTAATATTCTGATAGTTGTTCCCACTGTTATCCATCATGATAAATAAACGAGACAGTCCTCCAGATATACTTTTTGTTTAAAACATTTTGATTTTAGATCTGAGATCTCAGACTTCTGTGTTTCAATTGGTTCTCAACTGATGTAGCTAAACTTATGTAGTCTGTACACAATGAGCCAACTCGACTTAATGCTCGCTTAATGTTGCCACGATGAATTGTCTTCCGTGCAGTTATTTTAGAATATTGCAATACCGAATTAAGTTATAAAGAAAACAGATCAAAAGGTTCTAAAACAGTAGTCCTTGATTCTCTGATATATATTAGATATATTTTACCATTGAAAAGTTAATACTATAGAAGAGAGCTTTTGGGCATCTAGAAGACTACACTGACAAAAATAACAGCATCTAGAAGACTACACTGACAAAAAATAACAGCAGCTAGAAGACTACACTGACAAAAATAACAGCATCTAGAAGACTACACTGACAAAAATAACAGCATCTAGAAGACTACACTGACAAAAAATAACAGCAGCTAGAAGACTACCCTGACAAAAAATAACAGCATCTAGAAGACTACACTGACAAAAATAACAGCATCTAGAAGACTACACTGACAAAAAATAACAGCATCTAGAAGACAACACTGACAAAAAATAACTGCATCTAGAAGACTACCCTGACAAAAATAACAGCAGCTAAAGGACTACACTAACAAAAATAACAGCAGCTAGAAGACTAGACTGACAAAAATAACAGCATCTAGAAGACTACACTAACAAAAATAACAGCATCTAGAAGACTATACTGACAAAAATAACAGCAGCTAGAAGACTACACTGACAAAAATAACAGCAGCTAGAAGACTACACTGACAAAAATAACAGCAGCTAGAAGACTACCCTGACAAAAATAACAGCAGCTAGAAGACTATACTGACAAAAATAACAGCATCTAGAAGACTACACTGACAAAAATAACAGCATCTAGAAGACTACACTGACAAAAATAACAGCAGCTAGAAGACTACACTGACAAAAATAACAGCATCTAGAAGACTACCCTGACAAAAATAACAGCAGCTAGAAGACTACACTGACAAAAATAACAGCAGCTAGAAGACTACACTGACAAAAATAACAGCATCTAGAAGACTTCCCTGACAAAAATAACAGCAGCTAGAAGACTATACTGACAAAAATAACAGCATCTAGAAGACTACACTGACAAAAATAACAGCAGCTAGAAGACTACCCTGACAAAAATAACAGCAGCTAGAAGACTACACTGACAAAAATAACAGCATCTAGAAGACTACACTGACAAAAATAACAGCAGCTAGAAGACTACCCTGACAAAAATAACAGCAGCTAGAAGACTACCCTGACAGCTAGAAGACTACACTGACAAAAATAACAGCAGCTAGAAGACTACACTGACAAAAATAACAGCAGCTAGAAGACTACCCTGACAAAAATAACAGCTAGAAGACTACCCTGACAAAAATAACAGCAGCTAGAAGACTACCCTGACAAAAATAACAGCAGCTAGAAGACTACACTGACAAAAATAACAGCAGCTAGAAGACTACCCTGACAAAAATAAGAGCAGCTAGAAGACTACACTGACAAAAATAACAGCTCTTTCAGAAGATTTTAAGACTGAAAATGACTTTTATTTAAAACAGCATTATTTATTGTGGGCAGCGCATTACAAATCGTATCAATACACATGTATAGCATCAAAGGGACTAGAACACACTTGTATGAGGTCGATACTCAGTTTAATCAAATCGCTACAACATAAGGAACATAGCTACAGCTAGTGCTCAAAGAAACAAAAATACTATAGATTAAAAGAGATCACATGGTGAAGAAAACATTCGTTTCTTGAAATAAACATAAATGTGGTAATAATAGCTCATACGCAATGAGAGAGCCATGTTTCCAAATAACGTTTCCTTCACGAAGCCGAATCCTTCTTCTGGGCGACAGGTTCAATTGATTAAGCGTTACAGTGTTTTGCTAAGATGAGTAGGAATTTGCGGTTTTGAACTCCGTTCATTGAAAGATGAAAGCCGAACGTTTTGGCCAAGTAAAAGCTGGTAGATGAGATCCCCCAGAACTGCAGTTGTAAACCTTGTATAATTTTGATGTTTCCTTTTTATCTTTCTTTTCCAATATGGAAAATGTAAATTACACTTGGTGAAATCACCATAAAATTCTGATAAAGTGCAAACATAGGCCTAGTAATGCGGTGTAAACACGACGAGTCGCGTTCAACTGTTGTGGTATAAAGGGAGGTAACTACTAGATGACTACCTGTATGAACTAATTATTTGGCACATAATTTGTTGACGATAACATCCATAATGATAATGACAGCACAAACAACAAGAACAGAGAGTCCATCTCAATTAGCAAATGTTAATAATCAAAGAACGATAATACGTTCTCATGAATCAAACCAATGATTCGGGAGTTTAATTGATAGGTCTTTCTGAACTCGGATATGTTCCCTTAAAACATACTGCAGGTTTAAAGTAGGTTTAATTTCTACTGACACGGTCTATAGGAAATGGTAATGTATATCTTCGATAGCTTCATGACGCAACGAATGACTTTCCCTTCCAAGTGTTTAAAGTTGCTATGATATCAGTTTAAATGCTTTGGCTATGTTCTCGCGAGACGAACATCACTAAAACGATCTTTGGAATGAATAGACAAAACACATAATAAATAACATTTAAGGAAGCATTCACTTTGATTTTTCTCGCCAATATGGCAACATAGTTCCATTCATCACAGAAGTCCGACTGTTTCGTCCTCTGACTTATCTTCATCCGAATCAGAGCTTTCCTCTTTTACGTCTTCACTCCAATCTGAAATTAACATGTTTTGAATATTGAAATTAATTCAGAAGGACGACAATTCCGGGTTTCAATAATTTCTAGTTTGCTAATGTTAGCCATGTGCGTAACTAAGTCAGATAATGCGACTACAGGTTAATCGCATGAAAGTTTTTTGATTTGTTGAGTGTGCTTGGTTCAGAGCACGCTTTAGAACCACTGGTGGTTCACCAAGCCTATTGTTTCTCGCATTAAACCTGGATCAACGGATATCATGATAAAATAGTAACCGGATCACCAGACTTCGGCATTACATCTCACGAACACCATTTTTGGCATAGAAAAGTTATCATGTGATATATCAATAAAATTGACACTTACCGCAAACACTATCAGAAAGATCGTCATCGGAATCATCACTTTCAGAATCAGTACCAGGTTGTTCTATTTGTGTTTCTTTGTCTCCAGCAGTACATACATCTGGAACGAGAAACGTCACAGTTTATATATTCATATAATTGTGCTTTGTTTTTAGTTTTTAATTGCTTCGAAGGTACTTTTTTAATACTGCATGAAATAAGTTTGTTAACATATTTAATGGCGGTTAAGAATTTCGAGTCTTTATATAAAAATTACCATGAAATATGAAATTATCCTTTGATACGAATTCAAATACAATTTGATTAAAATAATTAGGAAAATCTAGTCTCGACGAGTGAGAATTCGTGAAGCGATACTTTAATTCCCCAATGCAACGTTTAAATCGATAACAATACATTTGTATTTAATTATACAGTCAGCCAGGAACTTGATATTAGGATATACGTTATATTCTTGTCAGAAACAGAGTCGATTTGGCTGGCTACTGAAATATATTCTATTCCAAAAATACAATTCCACTTCAGACTTTACATTAAAGGGATATTACTCACTAAATATTTCATGTAACTGGTAGTGTCTACGAGAAACTGAGAGAATCTTATTATATTAATCGCTTGATTTAGACCACCTGAGCAAACGCACGACTGAAAAATTGCAGTTGCCATCAATTACTTATCTTCTTCTTCGTATAATATTTAGTCTTGCCATCTACGGTCAAAATCTGTGTGTATTTAGTTGTTCACGGTTTTTAAAACATTGTAGTTGGTGTTCGATATGCTTTGCTTGTGTTGTTGCTTATGTTTTGCTTAATGATATGACTTTAAATGGCTAGACGACTTGAGTGACAGGATGATGGATCTAGTATCTTAATAAAACAGACATCAATATATTATTTAAAGGATTTTTTTTATGTCGGCGACTCCATTTAATTTAATGACATTCTTCTTTCAATGATCTTTGACACGATTCGATTGCTGTGATACTTACATTAACTCTTTTTAGGAAGCTGATTAACGTAACCACTAAAATGAAAATCCAAGAAATTGTCATTGGTAGTGTGTAAACTACTAATGACCAGAGAATTTCATTGGTTGTTTTTGTAAACACATATCGTTATAAGTGTATTAAGATCATGTGTCTAAGAAGTAACTCATTAAAAATGTAATTGTATTTCAATACAATTGTATCCAACTAATGTTAATGAAAAACTAAAAGAATTTTCATTTTGTAATTACTATTTGAGTTTCCCTATCAGATGGCACAGCGTCCAATATCATGTGTTATTTTATGCATCCAGACAAATCAAATATATTGAAACTGTTCAGTTTTTTTCATTGCATATTGGAAGCAGCAGTTATTGGAAACTTCCTGTAAAATTGAAACATAGCGCATTATACAATACAATATTATACTCTGGCTTAATTAATTACGAGGCACGGCGTTAATCTATGTATTTCCGCAATAGGCTTAATGACATTAGAATAATTGTATTAGGAGAAACCTAATTGTATAAACCAATCATACAATATCAATACAAATAAAATATACAACTTTTTATTATTACAACATAGAAATTCGATTATCAATTATATTTTTATTCATATCAGAAGCAACTGCAGACTGGTAATGATCAAATTCCAGGCATTCTACATTCTGATGAAACTAGGCTGTTGAACTTTGTTAGCAAACGAGATTAGGTTATAATGCTTCAACCATCTCACAACGACAACCAGTCTGACATTATGTTATTAAACATGACTTATTCTACAAAGAATCTTTGATAGGCCCATGTTTTAATTAATTTGAGGCTATGTTTGATGTTTATTTTCAAATTCAAAAAAGTATTCCGATATAAGAATAAAATTATCATTGATTGTTGAAACGTTCTCTATGGGTTATTTTATATGTATGCTTACTATTCGTTATAAAAATGCTATGAATACGTCCAAAATTGAAAAAAAAAACTTATAATACCATTTACAAGAAATTTTGACTCGCACTCTAACGCTGGCTCAATTGCAATGGTGTAACAGGGCCCTATAATATAGCTCATATTCTATAAAACGTCATGACTTTGACTCCGACAGCTCAAAGTAAATTAACATTGTCCATCAACAGTCATTGATTACAAACATTATAATAATGCCTATATACATTCTACCAATGTTACCATAATGTTGAGCTAGCCATGTTTAATTATGGTATAAGTTGAACATGGAAAACACAATAATCGATACCACCGCAAATAAACTGATGATGAATTAATTTCCAGTAATTTAGACAATAAACTTTATTGATCATTGTGTACTTATGACTATTGATAAACAATAAAAATCAATGACACTTCAATTGATAAGGAGAGGGTTGAATACAGCCTGTTGTAATAAAATAGACAGTCGCTCATGCTTTTATTACTACGTTTGAATTGACAAATAGCTTGCATGCATATCTAAAACCAATTTGCTCCAGATTTTTATTCTTGAAACCTAATTTTAAGATGATAATGATTCCTGTCAGGTGACAAATTAAAGGCAGATATGAAAAAAAATATACTTATCAACTGTAAAAGATTGGATTGACAGCGATGTGCAATTTGATTATAACCAAGTTGGGTGTTTTTTTTCTAACCCTTTTCTTTCTATTACAACATTCATGGGCTTGAACGATTGCATTACCCCCACCCCAACCCCACTCCTGGGGGTTTCACGATGTCCTTATTATGTGGGTGTGGTATACGTGTATAGTTTACGAACATGGCAAAAAGGATGACTTGATTTCAGACAGATTTACTTCAATTATTGGAATTTTAATACATTCATATGATACACAATCTAAACTATTATTTTCTTGTCATTTGGCCCCTGGTAATCTTAGAATTGCTCCATAATCCATGATCGATATAATAGCATAGAAATAGCATAATATATGTATTTTGAAGCTGAATTACCCCCAACATAATATTATACGGCATCGAGCTCGAATGAAACATTTATCCCAATATAATTTCTAGAAAAAAAAACGACTAGATCAAACGATTTTTGTATCCCCCTTTTACAGCACACCGGCGACAGTGATCGAATGGCATATAGCACCCGCATGTACAGATTTCTTGTTAGTGAGACAGATCTTTATCTCTTTATTATTCTATTAGCTAAACCCATGATAGATGACATTGTCTTGGAAAACCTCGAGTGGCCAGCCAATGTTTTCGGTATATTCAATTAAGGAAGAGGAAATCCCTTACGAGAGAACCTGCTGTTTAATCTAAATGTGTACATTATCAATTAATCTTAAAGAGTGACATGATCCTGGTTGATTATACGTTCGGATTGTTAGTACTAGGTTTATTCATTAAACCAGTTATGCAGGATGTATTGTAGACCTCATGATACATAGGTGGAATGACGAAGCTGACCTTAGTAATAAAATGAAACATCAATATATATTAGAGCGAGTAGACAACGATGGTCGTGCAATTACTTTATTTAGACAGGCTATACAGGGACAGGGAGGGAATACTTAATTAGGCAGGCTAAGTAACGGGGACATAGTGACAGGGATGGGATACTTAATGAGGCAGGCTAAGTGACGGGGAGGGAATACGTAATTCGACAGGCTGATTGACGGATAGGGGATACTTAATTAGGCAGGCTAAATTACGAGTAGGGCATACTTAATTAGGCAGGCTAAATTACGGGAAGGGGATACTTAATAAGGCAGGCTAAATTACGGGAAGGGGATACTTAATTAAGCTGGCTAAATTACTGGAAGGGGATACTTAATTAAGCAGGCTAAATTACGGGAAGGGAATACTTAATTAAGCAGGCTAAATTACGGAAAGGGAATACTTAATTAGGCAGGCTAAATGACGGGAGGGGATACTTAATTAGGCAGGCTAAATTACGGAAGGGGATACTTAATTAGGCATGTTAAGTGACACAGAGAGGAAAGTTTGGTAGTTGCGTTGTGAATTGATACACATGCATATTTTAAAAATCAGAATAATAGAAGATTCACTTGAACTAAATTATGTGTTTCATTATATCATGATCATGAAACAATATTTCTAAGTCAATGGAATTATAAGTGAGGAAATAAGAATCGCAAGATGATGGCTATGAATAATGTTCAATCACATTACAAATTCAGATAGCATTTCACCAACTTGACAGCTTTCTCTTATATTGCATCTCAATATCCTTTATTCAGACAAACTCTGACTATCAACTTAATGAGAAAATTTAACAAGTGCCATAAACCAGAGAATCAATGCTTGGAGATGCTTTGTTTTTAAAGAGGCTTGGCAGTCTGTATGCATGTGTATGGGGTATCAGCTAGTTGCGGTTGCGGTTCATCTATTCTCAGCGCTTAGGGGGAGGGAGGGGGGGGGGGGGGAAAAGGGGGGGTTAAAGCTTAAGGGTTAAAATCCTGCATAATATGTTATTTTAAAGAATATTCTATCTGTATTATTACATTTGTACAAAAACAAAATGCATATTTCCACAAAAAAATTGTAATTTTGGCCATTACTTCCGAGGTAATGAAAAGGATACCAAGAACAAGTTATATTGCCACCATTTCCAGAAGTTTTTCTTTTCTACTTTGCATATATTCGAGAAATTGTTTACTTTGGTCATAATACACTTGTATAAAATTGTCTAGTTGCCAAGTCCTCAGAACGTTTGAAATATGCAGCAATCATACGCTACATCTTAGTTTGAAATAAAGTATGACCAAATGCATGTCAAGTAACTGGCGATAAAATTATTGTCAGAAAGGTTCATCTTGAACAAGAAACATTGGACGGCAGGGCGCGTATTTATGTTCTTAAGCTGCCGCCTGTGGAACAATTTCACACTTTATAATATGGTTTTATATTATTAACAGAGAAAACACGATGACAGTTATTATTCTATCAAAATGAGAAAAGAAAATTAATAGGCAAAAGTCATTACGACAAATCTCCCGAGATAATGGTTTATGTTTATATTCCTTTGCTTAGCTAATTGCTTCTCAGCTTTCTTCACAATGATTCTGACCATAAAACTGGCTTCTATATCATATTTGTTTTATAACTAATCGATCAAACTTTAACAATACAAGTCTGAGTTAAAACCCGCATAGATGAAATACATGTAAATAAAGACAATGAGCATGAAAACATACTTCAAGTTGCTAATAGTACATTAGTTACCGATATTGGTATACAAAGTCACGATCTCGGTGAAATAGACATTTGCTCTCTTTCCAAAGGTCCAAAGGAAACGATCAATCCCGGCATAGGATGAGGTAATAACTTTGAAAGTCGAGGGGTCTGACATAGACAAAGTGTTAAATCACCAAGGTTAATAGAAACTGTCATGATTCATCGTCGGTAGGAAGTGAAAAATAACACCGAATGCGGCGCCCAAATTTCCATAACCTAAGGAAGCAGGACGTAAAACCCACTTTTGATTTTATAAGAGTTCTTTCTAAAAGCCTTTTCATGAAAGCAGTTTGATTTGTCAAAACGCATAATTTCTCCATTATAGAATAAGAAATAAAATAACGCAACACTTCTAACAAAAGCAAAAGTGTAGGCTCTTTCAGAAAGTGTCATTATAAATCATATTAGAACGAGAAGTTTTATGGTATCTACTCGACTTCATTCAATATAACACAAACGTGTCCAATTTATAGCCATCTCTTGGATAATATTTATTTTAGGTCAACCTGGCTGTTATGGCTTCTGCAATTTAATTAATAATGTTGTTTTAGGTATGCTGTGTGACTCATATGGTTTTTGCCAGTGAGGTCAAATTCTGTCGCATGGAAACTGCGATGACCGTGCGTTGTTGATAATGACATGCAATTCAGTGATTACAAGTATTGCCAGACTGTCGTTCAGTCATCCTCACTCATTACCGCGTATCGATTTTTGCTCAAAAACAAAAGTCCGCAAACTGCAGCCTGTCCATGTTTGATTATAAAACAACTACACTAACATTAGTAACAGATGCAGTCTAATTAGTACTGTCTGTCGCAGAACTACATGTAATCGAAGACAGTGTCTACTGATTAAATAGATAACTGCATCTGGTCAACATCTTTAACTGAATGAATCTAAAGAAATGGCAGGTTGATAAACCCGTCTTCCATTTGTCCAAAAATAGATAATGATTGTTGTTAGATTTATTGCTCTGAATGGTGATAATCAAAGCAAACGAAAGTAATCATACACAGCTTCGCATTTTTACTTATAACTTTTTGTCATGGCATTACAATAAAATAGCATCCTGTAGTATGAACACAAGATGGTAGCCGATACTCTTGACACGTCTTACCATTGCGATAGTGATCACAATTACCTTGATGCTTTTACCCAAGCAACTTTAAATGGTTAAAAAATTATGCAACCGTTGCCAAAATCGATGGCTCTACACCTAAAAAACTGAGAAAAAAAAACTGCAGCTTGTAGATAGAGCAAATTTTGAATCATAACGAGATAATTATTTTCGCAGAGTGACTTGAGATGTTCCTAGAATACAAACACGTCCTTGATAGCTAGTGACATTATATGACTCACCAAGGTCTTTCGACTATTTCTTCACAGATTTTCAAAAGTGAAATTGGCGTTTTAATTCAAAAGTTAATATCACACTTGTCAAATTCCTTTCATCTGTTGTTTTCTTTAAACGAAAATATTGGTAATATCGTCAATAACTTTAAATTAAATGTAATTTGATTTATGACACCCCATATTTATCATTTTACGTAATATCTGATGTGTATCGAAATGGATTTTGACAGAAAATCTATACCCACACACTCCAATGGCTATATTTGCAGGTTCTGATTTCTTAAATCAATAGTTGGCCACTTGTTCTTAAAGAAATGTCTTAAAGTAGGATTGTTGAATTCGTGTTAGCTAATTAAATCCATTTCATTATGTTAAAAAAGTAATGGGAACTGAAAATCAAATTTATAGGCCTACTGAAACAGATGTTTATAAATCAACCCGTAACACTCTATTTTTGGCCTTTGAATAAATATATTTATATTAATTAAGTTATCTGAGTGAATCTTTGGTTTGGAATTTCTAAGCTAGTATTATTCTTATAATGTGATGCTGAAATTTTACACGCTTCTAGTTTTGAGGATTAAGCAGAAATCAACCTTCCTTGAAACTGTTCTGGAAAACATCTCTTTCCATTAAGAAAATGAGGCAATTATAAAAGCTTTATGATACAACGCAAATATTTAGGTTATTTGACATGAATATATATCATAAAGACGCCATGCAGTAGCAGTGCTCGGCGGGGAACATTTGGTCAGATAGGACATTATGATTAGATGATAAAATATCATATCATCAGTGATATCTGCCTACAACCATATCATCATTATGTCTGTAATATCGTATTTCCATCGTCATGTTCTAAATGTTTGTATGGGTAGTGTCGAAACATCACAAAATATATAGTCATTTTAATAAAGGAGATTGAATAAAGGCTTAATTTTAAATGTTCACTTTTGCTATTTCTTTTGTATAGATCTGTACATCATAAATACACCTTGGTAAATTTATACATTCCACATTGATCTAAGAAAAGTTTCTTAAAAAATTTAGTAAATAATTAATTAAGATAGATGAACTAAAAAATATGAAAACTGTTATTCGTTGCAAACTTTTTGTCAGAATGTTTTTTGAAGCCAATCCAATGTCATTTTAAGATCTATATAGAGCTATATTCTCCCGTTTCATTTCAATTATATAGATAACAGTGAGCACAATGAGTACAATGAATAATGAATAGGTTTCTTGATGAATAATACTTACATGTTTGAACCTTTTTGTTGTGATCTGGTGGCATCAGCATTAAAGTTTCTATACCCTCGGGTACGTTGGACACGTGAACCTTTTCTACACGTACCAATTTACACAAGCCTTCCCTTTCTAATGTTTTATATAAACACAATTTGGTATTGTTTAACGTAAAGAACAATCCGCACTTTTCTACAACTTGTAAGTGTGGATACTCTCCTCTTTCCTGCATTTTCTTGTAATTTTCTATCGAAGCTGGATCCGCTTTCAGGTGGGACGAATCCAAAACTTGTTCACAACCCGTGTAACGAATTTTAGAAGGTGGAAGATACATTTTTATCACTTGAACACATTAAACTATACAGTAGACATCCGTTTTAGATAAACTGTTCCCAGGAGTATCACTGCAGCAAATTACCATTTCCGGATGTTAGGTCGTCTGCGTCATGTCGTTTGGTCGGTTCTGAAATGGATAAAAATTCTGTTCATTAATTTGTGAATAGAAGAGAAACGAGAGGAGGAAAATATTTGACCAAGTATTGATTTCAAACACTAAGGTCTGTAATTCTAGTGGCTTTCTGTGGACTGTGCAATAGAAATAAAACCTGATAAATTTAGCCCACGCACACACGCTAATAAAAGCCAAGTTTGGTTCTTCAATAAAACCCCTTTTATTCAGCGGCAGAGATTCGAAAATTTTAAGGAAAAAATCGTTATAAATGTTCTCTAAATAGAATTTCAATCAAGATTTAAAAGCTTTCAGTTCACAATTCAGTTTCTGAAGCTAAAGGGGATAATAGCTGATGTTAATGAAGTTTCTGCAAAAAGTAAAATTAATTTCCAAGTGAATTCCACCAGATTTCTGTCGACTGTGAAATTTTTTTCTGGTCGAACTGAAACATGTCAATACTTTAATTTCAACCAAGGTGGTTAATACTTTCAACCGGTATTGACATATATTGCCCATCAAGACATAGGAATGCAAAATTCTGCCAATATCCGGTACCTTTGCAACGTAAATTTTACACTTCGAGTAATTTGAATATATGAATATTTTCCAGAATACAAAAGCCACTTTTAGTCATCTATGTCACTTTTCAGAAACCCCTAAAATTCTATGTCGGGTTGTCCTTCAATTCAAGAAAAACGTACCGTGCCTGTGTAGACTCTCATTACTTGCAACGCTGCAACATCCTTGTGTGCGCTTAGTACCATCATGGTGTACCGTGTAGGGAATAACTACACGTGATGTCCTACAATTGGCCTGTGTCCAATTGTAAGAGAAACAAACGTCAGATTTTACTTCTGAATTCTAATTACCTCATTAGATTCGTACATGAAGTCTAGGATTAAACATAAATATAAACATTGACTGGAGTTAACATCTGTTGGGTGATACACTAGAAACAATTATGTTAGATTTACATATGTAACATAACACATGTGTTCACATTAACCGCATTTACTTTGACCTTGATAATAGTTATTACTGATTGATTTAAACTTGATCAGAGATTTTCAGCTCTCAAACTATTTTGGTGCGGCAACTGACCCATAAGAGATAACTGACTTTTCAGTAACCCTTAGGAAGTTTAGGTTGTATTATTGCGGTTAAGTAATGTTACGAGAGCACAGGCACAGAATTGTAGAACGAGTTTCTACCATTACAAAGATTCCTTAGTAGATTCTACAACATCTCAGGGAGTCGGTGTCTACACATAGTTGATAGTGTTAAGTAGAAATTAATTTTAGAAAAAGTTTCAAAACAAACAAAATAGGACTGTAATTAGTCTATCATTATCATGACATGAAGCAGTATCGGATTAGTTAATTGTTCTCAATTGAACCCAAATCTGGCGACTAAACACATCTTTTCTCTCATTCACCTGCGTTTTCTATTTCCATCTGTCGGGGATTCACGTTTACGTCGATTACTGGCCAACTTTACATCTTTACAATTCATTTGTTACAAAACATGGACTTTTAAGGAATCAAGAATCCTATTAACAGTCTGGAACCTTGGAAATTGTGCTTTTGTTAAGACCAGATTTTAATGTTTTTATTTTCTAGAGTTAACAACAGCTCAGACAGAAAGCAATTTTATCTTAAAGTTTGATTATTCTTTAAAAATCTCATAACCTGGCGTTTATCAAGAACTCAATATATATTGAGCAGTGTTGCTCAGCGGTCATCTTATATTTTATTTTACCCGTGTACATCTGTTTAACAGCAGAAAATTATAAAGATTTCATAAGTTGCATAGTAGCTCGAGTTGATGCAGCTCTGTTTTCAACTGTGGTAGTCATACTTGAATAATATACATTGCAATGTCTTTAAACATTGTCGACTGTCCTCTTTCTTTTTCATTAAGATCGTTAACCAAGTGTATATAATGAGAAATCTTACGTAAAATTTATACTAATGATATTTCCGCTAGAATAAACCATGTAAATGAAGATATATGTTTGTTCTATCCTGTTGTTCATTGCTTTGAACCTTTTGCTATTGGCGACATGAAAATAACACGAATATAAAAAAGGGGATAAGAAGAATCGATCACATGGTAGCTTGAAGGAAAAGTGCACAAATGAAATCAATCTGATCACAGAAAAGACTGTCAAAGCTGACGTTTAAGTAGCTCGGGCTACATAAAATGATGCTGAGTCGAATCATAAACCTGGAGAATTATTCTTATAAAGATCATGACACGTTAAGCTAACACTTTTTGACAACATTGATCTTTGAGAATTCGTGCATTATGTAAATCAACCGCTTTAAAACTTTGAGCTAGGTCCTCGCGTGATTGCGATCTCTGAAAGAGTGTGTTTCGCGTTATATACAGCATTCAACTTTTAATATAATTTGAGAAATATAGAAGAATTCACTTACTGTGAAATTGTCAAAATCTACTCTAAAATTGTTAAAATTTGAAACATTAAAAAGTTCAGACTTATTAAAAGCTGAAATCACATCTATCTTCATAGAAACGGTAAAGTGTGTAATTAAAGAGTATCAATCTTTATTTGGTGGCATTATTCCAGCATAAATGTTAACCTTTAAATCAATATGGGTTGTCTGTAACTAAAATATCGTCATTGAAATTAGATGTAATGGAACCTGTAATTGAAACCTTTTAACAACTTTGTAATTATTGAAAGTTTTCCTTTATAAATCAGTTTCAAAGGGTACGAGCAGTATTTTCCTAATAACAGTGTAACTCCAACAGCAAAACAACCTTTAAATATTAAATGTTTCCTTTTTGTAATCTCTGTCAATTTCCAGTATTTTCGTTAATAATAGATGTTCACAAGTTATTCGATTGGTTTAAAGCATCCTTAAAATCAAATGCTTAGGACACTGTCATGACAAATTTATAACAGTCTTGAAAATATTGAATTTTTTCTTTTGACTTCAAGGTTTGACAGATTTTTGTTTTAGTAAGAGAAGCTTGATTCATTGGTTTCTTCCACTTGTATTTTCGTTGGACTTCAATGTCATGGATCTATTTGTGTCAAGATCGTTCGTGAAATCAGATGTTACAAGCATAGGGGTCTTATAATTACTTTAATCTCAAATATCATAAGAAATTCATTCAGAGGAAGTTTTGTCCTTGAATCCCCTCTTCAGTGAATCAGCCCACCACTGCGCCGCTCTGCAATTGAATCTACATGATATGGGCTGGCCAAGTATCCTAGTAGAAACGTTGGTCTAGGTAGGTCACAAAGAATGGATAATGAGAGAGAAATATATGCCATCTTCATACAAACAGGAATTGTGACTAACCTAGTGAATTTCTGTGTTTATATTGGTTGAGAGAGCAAATATTGTTTTCAGAACTTTGTAATTTTCAAACTAGTCTCATTTACAATTCTTCATTACTGCTATGATATAATTATTTTCATGTTATCTTGTAAATGATATCTTGGTAATGCTATGTTTACACTATGTTCCACGGCAGCCCCGTTTGCCCGAAACGTATTGCCTCCATATCCAAGATTTGTTAGGTTGTTCTTAAGCTTCCTTACGGTTTATCACGGTATCCATGGCATGTTGTTGTGGCGATGAACAAAAGCCGTTTCGTTATGTTTCAGTGTGTTTCCCGATGTGTGACGCTCTGCGGGCCGGAGCATTGCGGTACGTTGAGTTCTGCTACGGTCTGACATGGTGCATGTATTGTCACGTTTTGTAGCGTTTACCCAATTTTACTACGGACTATTACGTTTCTCATACGCACCGCTGCTGTCGTGGCAAATTTGTTCACAGTTTAAAATTCTGGCCAGCAATCACGGCAATTATGGTAATTCACGTTTGCCTATCCCATTCCCCGCGTTGTCTCACGTTCATCCCGTTTATCCCCCGATGGCCCGAACCGTGATTAACGTGACCGCCAGGAACATAGTGTAATCCTAGCATAACCGAACTAGTTTTTTTAATGATTGCTATATAGGTCTATTAACTTCATACTATTGGGCAATGTAAATATAATTGTATGAGACAGTTCAGCGAATCGTCTCTCAGAAAGGTTAAGGGTTACCGATTAATCTGTTTTTAACAATGTTGTGTAGTTATTTGTCGATTGCTATTCTTTTAGAATTTGAATTACGTCAATGTCGGCTTCAATGTCCATCAAGGACCAGACACGTATTAAGTTGATTATTTTATAATCTTACTAAAACGTGTCAGTAATAATTTCCACCAATTCCACTCAAAGTGGCAGACTTTTTTTTTATCAGATTCTAAAAGCAATTGGACGATTAGTATGGAATCTATGAAGGAAATAATGATATTGGTAACTCGATAATAGGCGAAAATTGACGTAACTGTCTACTTTCTTTGAAGATATCAATCTCATAGCTAACAAAGTATAGTCCCGATTTTTCTTTCCTTACAAAATTATTATATTCAATCTCATTCTTGTCTATTTCCTAAAATAATGTTGATGTCTAAGTATAATAATATAGTAAATTGTTCTAAATGTATCAATCAGACATTACGTGGGTGTGACTAAAAAGATCAAAGGGTAAAAATACGACTCAAAAATTATACTTTTTAGTATATCTATATATAAATGCAAATAATTGAAATATATGATTTGAAAAGTTCCATAAGATTTTAAAGATTCGAATTTTTAATGGCAAATTCAAAAATCCATTAAATTATTAATTACAATAAAGCGTTTATTCCCCGTGTTTATTTGATGAAGAAGCTTAAAAGTCTGGCACAGAACGTAGCTGTAATATTCGTCTTTGGCTTTAAATAAACAAGCACTGGTGTTTCGCATAAGGCTTTACTTAAAAGGAACCTTTTAATACTCAACATTTACTTAATAATTTT